TCTAGTGACACAGAAGTTGCGTGAGTTCCGAACTCTTCCCGAAGACTGCCGAAAACGCTTATTGTTTGAAACGCTTCGGCGTGCCGCAATAATTATCATTCCAAGCGGTGAAAAATAACTATCGCTTTCTCTATCATCATTTTTCATAATGAATCATATTTAATACTTATCGGTACCATATTTCGTCGGTAAATTGTATTACAGTCGGTAAATCGTTGATATGATATCCTTTTTCTTTTTACTTCGTATCTTAAATAATTTATCTTTTTTTTCTATTCTTTTTTCTATTTTATAAATATTTTCTACCGTATTTTTAAAGTATTTCTATTTTAAACGGAATCGGACATTTAATATAATATTATCGACTGTTAGTACGTAATATTTGATACAACTTTTAATTTTGAAGTTTTAGATGTGTTTGCATTTATTATAGATATATTCACTTTCGTCGTTCTTTCTTTTTATGCACAATGATTCTTTTCTTTTAATTCGTTCAACTATTTGCACTCGAATTGTTCGAAAACTCACTCTAATAGATCTTAGATTGTTTCTCAATTTTTCTTTCATAAATTTACTCACAGCACGAAGTCGCAAAAAAAAAAAAGGAATATACACTCAATACCTCGAGATAGCGAAACTCTCGATTTCTGACACTATTATTGCAAGAAAATAATCATAAAGAGAAAGAATGCATTATGATATAAGAATAAATTATTAAATTAACGGTGAGCGAAATGGAATCAAGAACAGGCCCGACAATAACATATGTGCGCATGCGCTCGTGCACTATACAAGTTATGAAATTGAACATTACATAAAAAATTAATAGATGCGTCTATCAGGCCAATGACATTTATTAAATTCAAAAGAGAAAAGTAATATTTTAACGATTTAATAAAATTTTCAATGAAATATTATTAACAAATTGAATAATATTATTGTGGAATTTAAGATGAAAACGTAATATTTTAATTAATATACTATCATAATATAAATGTATTGATTATGTCAGTTAATGACTAATTAATTGTATCGTTTGGCCTGAAGGACTCTTCTAGAATGATTAATAAGAATGCTGAAGAATCGATTACCGTCAGACATAAAAAAATTTCAGAACCTCCGGAAACATGCTCACATGACATCCATATAGTTACTAATTATACCATTATTGATTACCGATTCGAATATCGAGTATGCAACATTTTTAATAAATTATTTTGAAGATTGTTTGATTTGTTTATATTTATCACTTTAATCTATTCTGCATTTCCACTCTTTTCTATTTCTCGTCTATGATTATAATTTATTTAAATTATTAATTTCTTATAAAAAATTAAACTTAATTTTGAACATAATATAAGTAAAAAAAAAAAAATATACATATGATTAATAAAAATAAGCATTTAGAAGAGAAATATATTACTAACAAATTTAATTTGATAAAATGAATTGATTTTTATGAACTAACTATTTCAATATGTTTCGTTTTAATATAAATAAAAAAATCACGTAAATAATTCTAAATATATTTATCTTTGTTAAAATAAAACTTATTTGCAAAAAAATTATCGTCAAAAAATCATCAACAATAACATGTGCATATTATATCATTTGTTTTTCGAAATCATTCTAACAATCGAATGTTAATTTGTATTTATAAAAATCAAAATCGTAAAATAAGTGTAAAAAATTAAAACTATATTAAAATAAAGCAATAAATAAATTCAAATATCGCTCAAATAACCGGTATTATCAACTGTCAAATAGATAAAAGGAAAAATTTAAGAATTTAATTAATTTCATTATCACAATGTTTAAATTATTAAATAAATGAGATTAATAGTAATTTATAAATTTAATAATAAAATATGAATATAATTACTTTCTGCGTAGAAAGCCCACTTCAAACAGATAACACATCCTGTCACAAAAATTTTCAATAGATAAATGATGTCTCCCGCCAAATATTCAGAAAACGGCACTTTGATTGGCATAATTTCTTATCCATAAAATAAATAATATTTTGATTGCTTGAAGCAACGTAGTTCTTTCTCCATAAAGTAAATAGCGTTCTTATTGGCTGGAGCATCATAGTATCTTATTCACAAAGTAAGTAACATTTTGATTGGCTGAAATCATATAATTTCTTATTCATTCAAAATTATGTAAAAATTAAATTATTATTATATAATATTTCAATTATTATATAGTACTATAAAGATATATTTATTAAAAATCTAATAAAAAATAAATTAAATCTAAAAAGATTTTAACGTAAATCAGGAAATCAATATTAAATATAATTAAATTATAACATAAAAAGAATTTAAATAATTTTTAATTTTTAATTTTTTGATATTGCTTTTTAAAAAATTATTTTTATCATTTTAATTTACAATTTATGATGAACAAAGGATTTGTTAATTTTATAAAAGAAACTATTATGTTATTTGTATTATATATATATATATAAATGACAATATAATCCGACAGTAGCGCCACATACTTTAATTACAAGAAATTTCGGAATGATAAGTTGTACACACGCGCCTACGTGCGCGTTCGGACGGCGTAGTAACTGTGCATTTCTTATGCGGTTTATTTGTTAACGAATATTTTGATTTATTGACAGAAAAACTCAGTTGAAAATGGAAAACGATAAAAGTACTATGCTTGCAGTTCTGCAGCTACTCAGAAAATATAATCTAAAGGTATTTCGAAGTGGATTTCACCATTAAAACTTTTCTAACCTTAAATATTAATATAAACATCAAAATTTTATTAAAAATCACTGAATATTTTTGTATTTTTTTTATAAAATATGTAAAAATATATTATTATTATAATTTAGTAAATATATATTCATATATATTATATTTTATATAGGGAACGGAAGAACTCTTTAAAAAAGAGGCAAATCTGACAGATATCTCTCCAGATGAAACTCAGCAAACTGATTCTGAAGTGAACAGTGTTCTTTCTGCTTATAAAAGTGAAGGAGATCCTGCTCTTTATGAAAAAGCATATAGCGAACTAAAAAAATTTGTAGAAGGATCTTTAGATATATATAAGGTAAAAATATAAAATATATGAATTAAATATATTCCATAAAAAATATATTAATATATAAAAAATTAAATCTGTTAAATAATAGCATGAATTGGGTACAATTTTATATCCAGTTTTGGTACATATGTATCTTGAATTAGTTTATAATAATCATTCTCAAGAAGCAAGGCTATTATTGGAAAAATTTGGTGGAAATTTGGAAGAATATTACCAAAATGACTTGAAGAGATTATCCAATGTAACAAAACGTGAACAAATGGCTGGAAATGAATTAACTGATACTTTTAAGTAAATATTAATAAATTCAAATTAAATTCAAATTTATATCAATTATATATCAATATGAAATATTCTACAGGTCAAATCAGTTTATAATTAGAATGTCAAGGGATACTCTTTCTATATTAAAACGACATTTACAAGAAAAGAAACATAGTGTATTACTGAATATTATACAAGAGCATCTTTATTTTGATATGTATGAAGGAGTAGCTAGAAATAAACAACAGATAGATGCTACATCTGGTGCAGTAGTTGGTGAAGCAACAAGACAAGGTAATATGTTTAAATAAAATATGAAAATTTTCAATAAAAATATTTTTCTAAAATTATTATTTTCATTTCAGATAATAAGGCCAAAGTTTATTATGGACTTTTAAAGGAACCAGACATTCAATGTATGCCTCCAACTGAAGAAGAGGAAGATGATACGGGTGGTGTAGATGGAGATAAACCGAAAAAGAAAAAAGCCAAAAAAGATCCATTATTTTCAAAGAAAACTAAATCAGATCCAAATGCTCCACCTGTTGGAAGGATGCCTCTGCCTAACTTGTAAGGAGATTTATTCATATATTTTTTTTATTATACATTTATAAACATAACAAAATCTGATGAAGTATAGAAAAGATGCAGATAAATTGGAAAAAGTAAAAGCATTGAGAGAAGCGTCGAAACGTGTTATACTTGGTCCTGATACATTACCATCTATATGTTTTTATACATTATTGAATGCAGTACATACGTAAGTTTATAAAATATAAAGATTAATTCAAAGTAAACAAATGGCATATATATAATACAAAACTTAGTGTGACAGCAGCTGAAGTAGCAGAAGATTCAAGTTTACTGGCTATTGGATTCAGTGATTCTTGTATAAAGGTATGGAGCTTAGTTCCACAAAAATTAAGACTGATGAAGACAGGGGAACAATTACAAGATATAGACAGAGAAGCTGGTAATATCAATTTCTATTTAATTAAATCATAAAATATTTATTATATTATAAATATTAAAATATATTCATATCGCAATATAGATGATGTACTGGTAAGAATGATGGACGATCGTACAGCGGAAACGTCGAGGTCATTATTCGGACATAATGGTCCTATATACAATTTATCATTCAGTCCAGATAGAAATCTTCTATTATCATCTTCAGAAGATAGTACAGGTACATTTAGATACAGATAGATTTTAAAATATCATGATAATTATACTCAATAGCTATTATATTATGTTTTATTGTAGTAAGATTATGGTCTTTACATACATGGACATGTGTCGTATGCTACAAGGGTCATTTATTCCCCGTCTGGTGTGTAAGATTTTCACCCCATGGTTATTATTTTGCAACTTCTTCTCATGATAAAACCGCTCGACTTTGGGCAACTGATTCTCATCAACCGCTTCGTATATTTGCTGGCCACTACTCAGATGTAGATGTAAGTTTATATTCGTAAATTTCAAATTTATGATAACTGACATAAATATAATAAGAAATTAATTCTTTTTTTTTTTTTTTTTTTTTTAGGTAGTGCAGTTTCATCCAAATTCAAACTACGTAGCAACCGGTTCCAGTGACATGACAGTAAGATTATGGGACTGCGTAACCGGCAGCCAAGTCAGATTAATGACAGGACACAAAGCTCCGATTTACTCCCTTGCTTTTTCCGCAGAAGGTCGATTTCTGGCGTCGGCCGGTGCAGATCATCGTGTTTTAGTTTGGGATTTAGCACATGGTCATCTTGTCGCAGCCTTATCGAGTCATTCTGGTACTATTCATTGTTTATCATTTAGCAGAGATGGAAATATACTAGTTTCAGGTTAGTTATTTTGGATTACTTTTAATTTATATTATATATTCAAAGAAAAAAATTATATATTTTATCTGTTATTCTAGTTATCTAATCTATTATTTTTTCAGGTTCATTAGATTGTACGATTAAATTATGGGATTTCACGAAACTTGCAGAAGAAATGAGTTTAGAAGATGTGAACGTATCGCACAATCCAGATGTAAAAACAAACGCAGAAACATATCTTCTTCGAACGTTCGCGACAAAAAGCACTCCCGTATTGGCGTTGCATTTCTCACGAAGAAATTTACTTTTAGGCGTTGGAATGTTCGAATCAACATAGCAAACATAATAATGTTTAAACGAATTCTAATGAGATATGGTCTGGCATCCATTCATCATTGTTGTAAAATAAGAATGTTTGTTAATAAATTTTTTCACATTGATTATGCGATGTACCTGAATCATACCTAATGATTATATGATCGATTAATGTTCTAAAAGCTATATTTATATGTATATATACACGTTTAATCACAATATTTAGATATTGTACAGCTTTTTTTCAAAATACAAAACATTAAAATATTCTGATATTTTCTCTTTTCTTGTTTTTTTTTCGCTTTTTTGAACAAATCAATCTTATATAAATAATAATCAATCAATTCGAAGATTTATGTTCATGAATAGAATAGGAAATTCGGTTGATGAATTTTAATTACGACTAGAATATGGATGAACGTCTCTCAGTGACCAATGGATTTCATATTCTATTTGCATATTTAAACGGAAATATTCAATTGCTCTTTATGTAAAATTCTATCATTAGTTCCTATTGTATTTTCATGAGATTTTAATTCAAATTGTTCACTGAAGAAAAACGAGAATTTAAAAGATATTTCTATAATGCAAAATTTTGTAAAATCTAAAAAATACGAAAGAGAATATTTTAAAGTAGGAAAAAACATTAAGATTATCGAGATATAATTTTGAAAAGAAAAAACGATTTCAAAGAGTATTTTCAATAAATTCAAAGAAATTATTGCTAAGATAATCTTTAGTAACCGACATTGAACATTTCATTTGAAGGATGATATTTATAGTTGACCAACATCGCTTTTCAAAAGCACATCTTTTTAAAAATCTATTTGAATATTAAAATAGAGCAAATACAAGTGAAGAAAACTAAACGTTACAAACTAAACTGCACGTTAGTTTGAAGGTCGACGGAAAAAGGATCTGAATAATGAAATCGCAGCTTTTTCAAAAAAAAATGTTTCTTTCATTTCATTTATTTTGCTGGAATCGTTTCTATTCAACTATGATCGTTACTTTTTTAGATGCATTTGATGATTTTTATTTACGATATCATTTTATTAATATTATATTAATATTATTAATATTATACTTTCTTTACGTACCAACATAAAATTACAGGATTGATAGGAGAAGAGGAACGGGTACTGTTTTAACTCATGATAAAAATCCAGATCAAATTCACGCGAGAAATTTATTTCCGATTGTTGATACGCTTACTTCTATCACAGCATACAGACGTAAGTTACGCGCTTTTACCATACGTGTGTGTATGTAGTATGTATTTAAGTAATGTCATTCCTTTCGTACATGTGTCGGTGTGTGCATACGTGAAATGATGTTTTTCTTTTTAAGTAGTTAACACTTTCGTAATAAGGTTACAATGTATGCGTTGTCAATCTCATGTTGTTCACTTCTCTCGCCTTCACATTCGTTTAAACGATAATCAACTATACATCAAACTCTACGTCCCATTCAAGCCTCGCGCATTGATATCAAACCTAGGTTACATGTGTCATTTAACTATATGTTATATCATCTTTGTAACGTACTTATGAAATTTGGATAGGTTAGGATCGCGATTAACGCAGGAGCATAGAATTAGAACATTGACAACCGGATTATTTGTAGTAGTGTCTGTCGAGATATTTATTTAATCTCGAACTAGGTCCTAAAATGGCAGTTATAGAAGGCGTCGCTATGCTCTCGCGTTAATGGTCGTGATGGTTGCGTGTTTTCTTTTTTTTTTTTTTTTTTACAAAAAACGTTGGATTTTTCGACGGATCGACGCAGATTACATCGATTTGATAAGATGGAACTGGGGTCGATGATAACGCATATGATTGATCTTGGTCGTGTAATTCCTTAGAATAAATTGCATATGAATATCGTCATTCAAACGCGACAATTTATAAAATTATAGAATAAAATTGATTTTAAAAGTGAGAAATATCGATCGAAATAATCTGTTTCTTTTTTTTTTCTATTTTTTTTTTTTTTTAGCTTTTTTTTTTGTACAGTTCTCATAAAGTATGATCATAAAGTTTTTTGTTTTTTTTAAATTTCTTTTTCAATAAATCACAGTAGTTCCGTTTCGTTTTCCCCCGATGTTCACATGCGATTTATATGTATAGGATTCATTCAATCGGATTTTATACTGGCCACTATTTTCAGTTCCCTCTTTTTCCCGCCAATTCAGTTCTGCGTCGTTTCTCGTCGTGGACGTTTGTGACACTCGTTTCCCAGCAACCGACTGTGATAAAAATTCTCTTTTTTTCTCGATGCAAATTACAGATTCCTACTTCGTTTTAAAAGCATATATTCGTACGTATCAGCCATGCTCATTTTTTCTTCGTAGTATAATCTTTCATGCTCTGTATGTTCTTTTTCATTTCTCTCTTTCTCTCTCTCTCTCTTTCTCTCTCTCTCTCTCTTTTTTTCATAATCACGCATTACTTTAACCTAAACGTGTGTTCCTAGTGCTACTGTGATACCACGGTTTTTCCATGGAAATCATATACACGATTTATTCGAGCAGCACGAATTTTTCATCGATTCGATCCATTCTTTGTCTATTAGTTAATATGCTGTGAAATTCGAAACCTCTTAGTATTCCAATTTAACTTGAATTTAAAATCTAAAAGACGTTATCAAAAGTGACGTTTCTTCCTCTCGTCTAAAATTAAATATTTAAGACAAAGCGTAGATCGTGCTCGAAACTTCGATACAACTCAGAATCCATTTCTTTTGTTAAATGCCTTCAAATTGGTCTACGAAAATTTAGTACGATTATTGCGTATATGTTTTTCTCGCGCGTATGCGCTATCCAATGGGGAAATATTCGATCAATTATTTCGTCGTTTGCTTCCATATTTTCCGCGGGAGGGGAGGGGGATCAGAGGCCAGCGAGGTAGGCATATTTTAAAAATCCTGTAATATTCACACGGTGGTCTCGATATTAGCAATGGCGTATTGTCAACAAATACTGTCCTTCCCATAATTTTCCAAATACATTTCTTGTGGCGTGGCAAGATTATATCGTCCGCTTAAACGACTTCCAGTTAAACCATTATTATGATGAGTGTGATTCACATGGAGATGGTTCACGTTCAAAACGACATTCTTTTTTTTCTTTCGAGCTTTATGTCGATAGAGGCAGTACTTGAGGCAACCAGTAGCAAGCAACAGGATCAGAAATATACCTAAAGCACCAGCTCCTACGGCCACGTAGAGTAATGTTACACCGAAACGGTACGAACAATTGGTTTCTTCCTCGTCGAAACCGGAAGGACAATGACGGATCCCATCGCACCATAAAACAGAACTTATACACGCCTGAATTTCGGGGCACCTATAAAATAAAATTACATAACAAACATATCACACATTGTTTTTATATCTTTATATGTATAATTACTTGAACAACAGGGATCAACCTTACCGATAAGGACAATCCTCGTGAGGCAGTATCGTGAAGACATTAGGCCCAATGCTAGAACTCGGAGATCTTTTAGAAATAGCCATCCAAGTGACGGCATAAAATCCAGGCTCTCTTTGAAGGAATTCGACGACGAAGCTCCTCGAGTGTTGCGTCATGGCGACAGTAGCGTTAATGGCGCTATAGTTCCAACCACCAGAGAAAAAATCCACCGTTCTTGCAGTGTCGACACCTACCTCGGGACAAATTACACTACGATCCTTCGTGTTGGCCGCCGAATAAACAACAATTCTATTCAATGTCGTGCATTCCTCGACGTTATCCAATGTGATACCGTACCCAGCTGTTCTTAAATACAAATAATTAATTCGCGCGTCCTCCGGTTCTATTAACCAAGGTTCGTTCACACATTGGGTCGCGGTCAGATCTTCCGTGTTGGTTAGAATTTCTTCCACGGCGGCAACACCGGGAATTACTCGCGGTAACGGACTTCTGAGGGAAATTTCACCACTGGTCCCTCGTAACCGTCGCTCCTCGAGCTTCGTCGAGCAACCTTGCTCACTCGTCTCCGCCCCCAGCGCAACGAAACGATATTCTCCCTCGAAGTAAAAATCCCTGTAATCCTGCGTGACGTTCATCAAGGAAACCGTGAATCGGACCTCGACCACATTTGATGTCAACGTTCTCAGGACGATCCTGTCGCTCACGTTCGAACACAGGCAATCTCGAATCTGAATGTACAAACAATTTCATCGTTATTTAACGATTTATTTATTTATTTATTTATTTCATTTCTTTTTCCTTTATCAAAAATCTACCATACCAATTCCACTCCCTGCCAAGGATACTCGGCAACGATCAACTCCGCGACGCCGAGCCTCGTGGAATCCCCTATGCGTCGATCGCAAGTCCATCTATTGACCAACGGATCCACGTACGAGGAACATCCTTTATCTCCAAACGAGGCCCTACTTATCGACAGTTCTATCCTGTGATCCGGCTCGGCCTCGAAACGATATACACAGCTAACGTTCTGTGCACCGCCACGGCCATAAAAGAATACACTTTTCGGCGACGCGAATTTCCCTGCTTTGGCAGGGGGTGAGAGCAGAGTGGAGGAGGACGAAGAGGATAAGGAGGACGTGGAAGACGTGGATGAGGTTGACGAGGAGCCGAACACGTGGTTACAAGAAACCGCCTCGTGCACGAACTCGTATCGCAGTACAAAGCTTATCGGATAAAGTGCACTTCCTTGACGCAGTATGTGCTCCAGGGTGAGGTCTCTGCCGCTGGAAACGTAACTCTCCGCGAGGCTGCAAGGCCTCGCGTGACGACTTCCGTTCCGCAACAAGCTGTGGTCGCAGAGACGTGGTGTGTCGTCTTTGCAGAACTGGCCCATCAGGGTAATATTCTGAAAATTATAAATACTAGCTTACTTATATACAATATATAATTTATATTTAATATAATTTATAATAAATTAATAATATAATAATAAATAATATAATAATTTATATACAAAATATAATTTATATACAATAATTTATTTATAAACAAGATTTCTTCTAGATTTATTTATCTCTCTTATATTTTTAGGTGTTAATATAGCTAGAAAATTGCACTATTTTATATCTTTACAAAAATAAATGCTTTTTTTTTTGAGTTACAATCAGTTTTGAAAATATTGGAATGATGAAATTTATCACAGAATTAGATGATATTTTATTGAAAAAAGGCTTGGGCATTCGAAGGTGTATCGTACCTTACGTATAGGAATTAATTTATCTAGCGTGCGATCGCCGTCCCAAATGAAAAGTTTCGCATTGCAGTCGGAGGCAACGTCGATACTCGCGGCGGCGTCGGCACTGGCAGCATAATACTTGACGAAAGACAACCAAACGATCTCGTTCGGTTTCCCTTGGAAATGATATCGACAAGTTGTGTTCGGAGGCAGGGAATGTTTCGGGTTTTCCAAGATGCCCGATGAACTTTCGTCGCTCGATATATAAAAATCACAATTGTTGTTCTCCTTGACGAAGCTACGGGATTTCTCGTCCACGAACAACACCTTTGAATAAATGATAGACAATATAATAATAGATAGATATATAATATAAATATAATAATAGATAGATATATAATATAAATATAATAATAGATAGATATATAATAGATGGAATGAAAAAATTTATTATTATTATTACAGAAAATGTAATTAAGGAAATTACCTGAACCTCGAGCTCGAAACCGGGCAAAAACGACAAAGGAACGGGATGAAAGGGATTGTCGTAGGGTGACGTGTGAAACTCGAGAAGCATCGTGTTGTGACTGCTCACTATATCTGGCACCGCGTCACCTCCACAAAGTCGTACAAGCACCTTATCGGAGGTTGAGCCGCCGTCGTAAACCGTCAAGTAATCTTGCACAACGTTGCATTGATCCCAAACTCTGCAAACGTGTATAAGTAAAATAATCCATCCAAATTAATTCTTGGTCTTAAATCTTGGAAAAAATTGATTATCTTTTTTTAAAACTTCGTTGCACATTACATATAATATATACTATGTAGAATAACAAAAAAGAAGAAGAGTTGAAAAGTCGATTAATTATAATTTCCATAGCTTTTTCTTCATGTTTCAGAAAGATGTTACGATAAAAAAGCTACTACCTTAATATCCTTTGGCTACCATCGTACTTGACGACCTGGTCTTTGATGTGTATCTTGTGGCTATTCCGCTGACTCACTGCGAGCAACGCCCGATGACCTGGTGGTGCACGATTTTGCTCCACACGGTAATAGCAAGTGACGTTTCTCGGGTAAACACCCGGGTAATTCGGCGATTGAAGTCGACAGGCTCGCGTGTCGCACTTGGTGAGAACACGATCGCAATACGTCCCGTTCACTAGCTCCCCCCGCCACGTGGACATGCTGCTGTTCCCGTACCTGAGGTGGGCCTCGCTCCGTCTCAGAAACTTGTACGACAACTTGAAGTCGAAATTATAACCGCTACCCTGTTAACAATTAAATATAGTAAAATGATAATATAAAACATATAACAAATATAATAAGAAATATAAATATAATAAAATATAACAAATATAATAAGAAATATAAATATAATAAAATATAACAAATATAATAAAAAATATAAATATAATAAAATATAATAAATATAACAAAATAATAATAATAATAATAAAGAAAAAATATAAGCATAATCGTATTTTAAAAATTCTTGATGTAAAGTTTGGATTTTATTACAGAAAACGAACTTCTTAAGAAGTTTACTGGGTTCTTTCTTGTAAACTGAGCTATATTAATTATTGAAGGGGGGGAACTGCTTTCGTACCTGCTCGGCTAGACGGAGCAAATACAAAGTTAAGTTGATGGAAGGTGTTTCGCTGTAATACACGGTGTAACCCCACGCGCTTCCGCACCATTGACCTCCAGTCGCTGGACGACCCCTCTCCCGTATGCTCATGTAACCATCCGGGCATCCTTCGGACGTGAAGGATAAAAATCGACCCACAGTGAACGTGTCGAATGTTAACTGCAATTTCAATTACAGGGATTTTAGTTTGATAATTTCCATTGCGATTAATTGAATTAATTAAATTAATTTATATAGAAAAATATAAGCCTGTACTATTAACATAAGTTCACAAGCGTTCAATTGTTTCTCTCATTCTTTGATCAAAGCATATTTGAAAAAAAAAAACGGTTAAACAATTGAATTAAATTATTGAATTAAACATCAACATCTGGAAATGGATTAAAAGAGGAGAAGCCTTGCGGTAATCCAGACAAAACAAAGAAAGCAAGAAAGTAAAGAAGAAATAGAGAAAAAGAAAAGAGAAGAAGATAAAGAAACGAGGATGATTGAACAAAAGTAAAATAAAAAACTTACAAAAATAATTTTCGAGAGACAATTTTTTTTTTTTCGTTAAACACCACTCGCGCGCGTCCCTACGAGTGGAGAAAAAATTATTGTCCGCAACTACTGTCTGCCTCGTGACAGTCCCCCTCCACTAGCGCAATGCCGAGTCAGCGCTTTATTTTTCTACGGATTGAACGCTCGCGTTCACGCGTCCTTCTCTTTCCTTCCCACCTGAACTAGGTCTCCCAGATCGGAGCCGGCGGCAGTGAAGTTGAGATGACACAAGAACGGCAGTCGATCCTCCCTCGGCCGGCGGACTTCCACTCTGTAGGTCCGACCGACGTCTCCGTACAATGTTCTGTTGCACGCTGTGAACCCAGACACACAAAAATAAAATATCGATCGCATCTATCGTTTCCAATATCTTTTTCTCTCCCTCTTCCTCTCCTTTCTTTTCAATTTAATTTGAGACGCTCGAGGTTCCAACTTATTTATTAAGGAAAGTTTATGAGCTTTGAATGGAACGATGGACAACAATGTGTCTTTATTAACACGTTGACTGCCGCTTATTTGACTATTTATGAACGATATTTATAGGTATTTGGAAAGATATTCTGGAGAGTGTAATAAAATTATTAAATTGTTATAAAAATAATAAAAAAATAATTTATTAGAAAAATTATTTTGAAAATTTTAAAACATTTTATACAAGGTTGATCCAGACAATTTGGACAAAAAGTTGTTGTCTTTTTTTAATTCCTTCGTTTGATTGGTCCATTTATCATCTTTTATCCGAATATTATGTTGACTCCGTTGAAGATTTTGACAAAAGAAGATTTTGTTGAAGATTTTGTTGTATTTTCAGATCAATAATTTTGCAGGTAATAATTCTCTAAATCTTCTAATTTTTTAATTACAAGTTTCATGATATAACAATTAGTTTATGAACATATGCTCTCGGACACGAGACCTGCTGTGACATTGTAAAAGACAAGCCCTGGTCTCTAAGACAAGCCACACGAATAATTTACAATTATACACAATTAAGAAGTACATTTGTTACTAGTCGAAGGGCATTCATATTATCCAAATTGAAATATCCAAAATACACTATAAATCAGTACTACTATTCAATACTATTGTCAATACAATTACTATTATCAATACTTCTATTACCAATAGTAATGATAGAAACAAATGATGCGAAATATTATTCTTGCGATGATCAGACATTACTAAAATATCGGTACAAGTACTGGAATATACTTGGCTACAGTGGCGCACCACGTGGCCTAAAGTAGAATTTCGTTAGAAACATGCGTGGCAGTCAACGTATTAAATACATTTTCCAAGTACGTTCGCGGCCTAAAGAAGATTGGAAGAATTCAAATTACACGTTTATCGTGAAATACGCTTTTGGGTCAACGAAAGGGGTCACGAAATTGGAAATCCGTATATTTTGACGTAAGTGGTGTATTTTAACCTATTTGATCGTAATTACGCATCGATATGAATTTTAATTGGATAAAAATTTCGAGGAAACGGATAAACTCACGGGTGCAATATTTCGGCTCGTCGGTGTTGTCGCCGCAATCATCTTCGCCGTCGCAGTATTTGTCCTGGGCGACGCAGTTTCCGGTCCCGCATAGGTACTCGGATGGCCTGCAAATGAAATGTAAATAAAACTTACAATAACTTACAATATATCCTTTCAAATTCATTTATATATATATATATATATATACGATTCAATGACGATTTTTAATCCCCGTTTAATCCTATTTTTGTAACAGCCGCGAACGGAAAGCGGGGAATAAGGGTAAGAAAATATCGATCTCGAACGCAAACAGGCTGGCGGACGATTTTTCAATTTATCCTCGTGAAAAATACAAGATTCTTTTTTCTTCCTTTTATATATATATGAAATGGTGGAAGGGAAAAGTCTGTTCCAGCCGACCTTGTTTCAAAGTTCCTATAGAATCGCAGAGCTTTTTTCCTCCCCTAAATACTCTATACTAATTGCCCGTCCGTTTTCAAAAAGGGAAGATTAATTAAAAACTTTTCAACTTATCGTGTTAAATGTATCAAATATAGCAAAATTACCTGCAAACATTTTCCAGACTCGATGTCGGTGTTGTAGCTGTGGCGCCCGACGAGGATTCGGCCGACGTCAGGCCTGGATAGATCGGGAAGCCGGGATATCCAGAATAGTCTGACGAGATTCCTGGATGGTAACTAGCGGAGCCAGCCTCGATCGAGGCCGTGATCGCGGCTGCGATCAGCAGCAACCGCCGGCACATCAACATGCCCCCTCACCCTGAAAAAAAGAAAGAAAAAAAGTAAGAGCGCCATCAAGCGAGAGAACGGCAAACTTGAAAAAGAAAAAGGGGAAAAAATAGAATTTTATCAGAAATATTACGTTTCCTATATTTCTTAATAATAATAATAATAATATTATTATTATTATTTTTATAAGAAAACGTTGACGTTGGATAAAACTTTTAAATAGATTATTCGCACAATATTAAAAATATGTACGTGTACAACGATTTCATAAAAGCGAAACACTTATTTAAGTGTATAGTAGGGCACGTAACATTGGACAAAGAGGCCTGAAACTCGCGGAGATAATAGCTAGGATTATGCTAATTCTATTCAACCGCTTATATTTGCCTCCCGTGCCTGGGATCTGTCTCCTATTTCCTAGTACAAATAGTCGGCACCAGTTTGCTTTAATCATATAATGGTGTTCGTGATAATTCTTTCCTTTCCTTTCCTTTCCTCTTCTTCGTTGTCACGGCCATCATTGAGAAGAAAGAGAGTGGAGAAAGAGAGAGAGAGAGAGAAAAAGAAGAGGAACGTGTGAGGATCCTAAAAGTGGATAAATCCCCTAAAAAAAAAAATAATAATAAATAAAGAATTTAAACGAAAAACTGCGTGGTACACGTGCCGCGAAAGGTTCTGTTTATTAAGTCGCCGAGTGAAATCCGGGCCAAACGCGGCCCAGGAACACGTACCCGAGACTGGAATATGGTAATTTGGCCCCGGTTCACAAATACACGGGGCCGCCTCGTACTCGAGTGTCACAGTGAAATTGCAAACAACTTAAACGAGCACCGTCGATTGAATATCGAAAAATCGAAGGTTGGAAGTACGATGATTCCCTCGATGATTATATCTTGATCTTTATATATCTTTTCCAATCTTTCAATAAGCGGTGAACGAGAAAAAAGAACTAGGAAAATTGTTGAACTTTTGTTTGTTTGAATTTCAGCAGAATGCCTTTATAAATTTTCCAATCGCTGCTTCCATTCTTACACACACACACACACACACACACACACACACACACACACACACACACACACACACACACACACACACACACACACACACACACACACACACACACACACACACACACACACACACAGACAGAGAGAGAGAGAGAGAGAGAGAGAGAGAGAGAGAGAGAGAGAGAGAGAGAGAGAGAGAGAGAGAGAGAGAGAGAGAGACGTACACAGCACACACGCCATATATATATATATATATATATATATATATATGTATACGTATATATGTATAGGTATATATATAATAGAACAAGATGGCGGTAGAACGCGAAAGTGGTGGGGGAAACAGCGTCTCCGCGACCGATTTTAAAATCAGTTTCAACCGTTATACGACGAGAGGAATCGGCGTTACGGTAATACGGGGGAAAGAGAAGGAAAGGGGGGGGGAGGAGGAGAGCGAACACACGAGCCGGGGCCTTGGTTAAATTGCCCGCACCAGCCTCGAAATTGGGTCGGTGCACGGGAAAATCGACTGCGGATTGAGAGGACCTCTTCGCGGTGGATCAACCGTCTCCACTCCTCCTTCCTCCTTGTCTAACATCCTCCTGATTTTGCCTCCCCCTCCCACTTTTCCCCTTCCGCGCCACGGTCGTTTTCATCGATGCAAAATTGAGGCCGGGTGGATCGTCGGCCAAGAATGGAGGCAGGCTGGAGATCGTGGATCGACGATTCAAGCTTTTACTGGATCCTGGATGGTTGGCGCCGGGTACTTAGAAACGCGGCCGAGGAAGGAACGATTTTGCGTAACAACTCCGGCTCCACCTCCTCGCGCTCCAATTCGGCTGTATTGCCGCGGCTTTCCACGCAAATTGGCCGTGTATTTTGCCCTTCTTCGGATCCACGATACGATGATCGCCCCACCGATTTCTGTAATTGGACCTACCAGCTGAATTCTTTCCCTGGGAGGAAGGCCGTGATGCCGCAGAAGAATTTATTTCCTACTCTCCTCTTCGAATCTTGAATCTTTTGAATGAATCTTCTTTTTTTTTTTTCTTTTTTTTTGCAATATAATTTATCGAGGAGAGATCTATAAAATTAAAATCGTATTGTAGAAGAAAAAAGAAAAGAAAAAAAAAAATTAGTATTATCTTTCGTTTCAACAAAATCGTTTACCATTATTCTTGGCATGCTACGCCCGATAAAAGCTCGTTAGCTTCTCTATCCTGGCCGGTTGCACATTGAAAATTCTTCAGGGAAGAGTGGTGAACGAACTTCCTATTCCGTTCCATTAACATTTGCCATCTCGGTTACCCTTTAATCTTGGCCGAAATAGGGGCAGGACGGGCGGAACGGTTCTAGATTCACCTTCACCGCCGGTTGGCAAGCGGCGCCTCTTTCCGCGTTATTGATCACGCGGCGGCCTTTTTTTTTTACAATCAATTGCCGTTTCCCCCCCGAGCGGTGGCCGATCGATGGGAATGCCGGTTCGCAAAAAGCGTGTGGGGCTCGAAGACAGGGCCGAACAGAGGCATGTTAAAATTCAATTCAAAACGGTGGATCGTCCCGCATCGGGCGTCGCTCATAAATTTCCGCGAAGAAGCTACAACCTGTTGCTTAATTATAGCCTCTCACGGTGGCTGCCGCGCCACCGAGCCACTTCTTCTTTCTATATCCCTCGATATTGGTATGCACGCCTCGAAAATCGATGCCTTCGCCGCCGCTACACTGGCCCCGATATCGAGACTGAAGAGCCTCGTGACCGCTTTCATTCATTTCACCCTTCTGGTCAGTCGATTCGCGACTCGAAAATCTACCACCAGTTCCCCTCCATTCAGCATGAAACCGATACCGATCGATCGATCGAAATCGGCCACCATTCAATTCGAAAATTCAACAATGTCCATTTCCGTTTTTGCCACTTTATCCGAAGCCCGTGTCACTTGTTACAGTCTTCTATCCAATGAATAGACGGATTTGGTTCAACCAGGGAAGAGTGCCAAAAAAATGAAAATTCCTAGGAATAAGTGATACCATAGAGATAGACAGACAGAGAAAGAGAGAGAGAGAGAGAGAGAGAGAGAGAGAGAGAGAGAGAGAGAGATTGGGTAAGTCGGTTTCCACGTGAGAAATTTCGTAGCGAAACTCTCCTACATTCATAGGTAGTGCACAGCAATAACGCGATATTAAAAATTACTGGTAATAAATAAGGCGGAAATTGTTGCGCGGAAGATGGAAGATGTTCAAGATGTATTACGGTGCTATTCGGGCCTCGTAGTCGGAGCAAGACGGAGCATCTAAGAAAAATATGAGGAATGATTAATGTATTTGGTTGTTACATGACGTTACGTTATATAAAAAAGAAAAAAAAAATATTAATACCTGATAAATTTCTTCGATTGAGATCATTGAATGTTCAAATTGCAGCGAACGTATGAATTGAGATGAAAAATTATTCAATGATTAAATATATGTCGAATATAAAAGATATCCATAATATAAAAGATATCCGTTTTAAAATGAAATGGTTTTCAGAACTCAGGAAATGAAAGCTAAATGAGCGAGACTTTTTTTATAGCAAGGAAGCAGTATCTATAGACTTCTGTTTGCAGGATCCAACTATATATCTCTCGGGTGTTAGATAGATGCAATGTTTCTACGTATACGTAGAATAGGAAGACTGCACATATGTGGTTGAACGAAGTTGGCAGGGAAAAGTGCCAGGAAGTACTGAAAAGAGAAGGAAATAAGTGTTGTATGCGATGGCGGGGGCTTGTCGTTGCCAAAAATCAAACTTTTTGGACTGTGCAAACCTTGCCCGATGCATGTAGTGCCCGATTATAAATAAAACGTGGCAACGGTGTATTTTGTAATATTATATTCGAGTGAGGTCGCTTTTCAATTGTGCATTAGTCGTTAACGAAACGGAATATCCCTTCTCTCTACGGTTGATTAATATTTGCCCGAAAGCCCAGTCGTTTTGTGCAGTAAAAGCGAGCTATTTAATTACATCCTATGGCCGGGTCATTAAATAAATAAAACGCTGCCAGCAGGCGGAACGAGATAAAATTTTCATCCTAGCTCTGCGAACAATATCGGAGAGCGATCAAAATTTCAATGCTTCTTTTGCGCCATTTACTATATCCTTATCTCATTATATGTCGATAAACCAATATATCGATCGTTTATCATGGCGAGATATAAACTGGATCATCTGACATAAAGTTTCATGAACTTTATTCAAACTGAAAACCTGATCTGAAAGAATATCAAAAATTTCGTTAATTGCGATTGTAATAAGATACAGTTTTTTTTTTATCATTGTCTCAATTTTAATTTTTAAATATCGTCAATAAAAATATATTTCAGTCTACCTTTATCAAATTATTATAAATTTAATAGAATAGCATTATATTTTCAAATTAATATTTGGAAATCATTCTTCAACGCCACCTAACCTATCTCTTTCTCATTCCTTTCATCACTTCGTAGCTCAAGTCTTTTAGCTTCTTAATTAATCTTGGCAATCTTGCACCATCCTAACTACAATTACAACAAACTGCTCGTTAAATTCAATTTTCACGCTTGAAATAAATTTCCTTTATTTACTATTCTGCTCATTTGTCATCAATTCTTTGATCGATTGATCGAGCGGACGTGCAGGCAATCTTGGTAAATCAAACACAGCCATCTTGCCTTTCCTCTGGCAAGAGCTGAGTAAGTAAACCGTGGTTGGCGCGACCTGACATCATCAGGATTTTATCTGGTTGGTAATTTCTTTCCATTGGTTCCGCTCCGACGTGTGCAAAAAGTCAATTTATTCAAGACCCAAATATAGCATGGCGCTGATAAATGTTCCTTTTCCGAAGCTTACCCCTCGATTTCTGACCACAACGTGTTGCTTCATATCACAGACACGCGATCCAACTGCAACATCGTATTTTCCATTGTATATTTCCATTCTCATTTCTTCAAAATATCACAGGCTTTTTCCTTGCTTTCCTGATAACGAAACGATATAACGTGATAAAAAAAAAAAAAACCAACGCAACCGAGAAACAAGGAAGCCGGAAAATCCAATTTTCGCCTAAAGGTCAAGCCAGAAATTGAACCTTACAGAATTTGATCCTCACTTATTAATCTCGTTGTCGAAGTTTCGTCATGGATCGTGGATCTTCCGATAATCCAATATTCGACATCCAATATTGAGTTACATCGTCGAAATTGAAAAATACCCAAGCTCATTGAGATTTTAAAATTCCAAGAATTCCAAACTCGCCTCTTTGCGGTTGTCCTGAATCGGTTTCAATTACATTTTCACAGTTTAACATCGAATCACTAGTATACATTTGATAATTAATAGGTTAGGAAATTTGTCTTGATAATTTTCGTTCAAATTCCTCCAGCATTTCTATAATCTTGAGACAAAAAATATCGCTTCACCATCGCTTTTATCAACAGACACCGTATCCGTAATCGAAGCATCTAAACGAAATCTGAATCACATGGATGGAACGATGAATCCTAAAATTTATGTGCCGGTACATTCATCACCAACGATTTCCGGGGTTAGCAAGTTTCAATCCTCTTTTCAATCCTTTGTTTCCCCTCAATTTATACTACTAGTCCGCGTAAACATATCTCGATCGTACCTACAAAAACAAACACATGTATTACCAGGCTTGTCTATCAGAAGCTGGATAAGAGCGGCTGGCGCGACCTAGCATCATCAGGATCTTATCTGTCGTTGGTAATCTTGCTTCATCGGTCCGTATCCTGGTTCCATACACACGCCATATATCACCGCGCCACGATGCACTGTATAGTTAAGCTTGACGTTTAGCTTTTTGCAAGAGCGTTAGCGTGAACACGCGTAGTACATGTGGCGCCATTCTTCGATCCACGAACTAGGAGTCTCCATTATATATCTCTTCCTTCTAGTCCTTTTTCTTTTCTTTTTTTTCATCCCTTTTTGTCTCTATTCTCTATTTTTCCACTCGTCTCCCCGCTGTTTTGCCCAGGTACCTCGTCGAATTCAGAGACCTCGTCCTCTCGTGCGGAAAAGGGAGTCGAGCTAGGGTACAGCACGTGAACGAAGAATAGCACGCGATTGTTAGGCGTCCCCGATTAATCTACGACTTCTTTTCCTCCTCCTTCTCTTCTTCCTCCTACACTTCTGCTCCCTGGCCGTCCTCTATGTCGGTGTAATGGTGCTCGTCTTTCCTTGTGATTGCGACGACACAAAGACACAGCTCCACTCATGTAGACGGATCGTGAAGACCTAGGTAGATATAGTTGAATAGATGAGTGTGGATGTCATCGACAGCAGCAGACTATAGCTTCGTTCTTTTTTTTTTCTACGGTAATCAAAGTACTACCACAAATTCCCAACTTCGAAAAAGTATATCAGAATAGCGAATTGATTGGCCGAGTCGCTGTTGATTGTGCTGAGAAAACGATAAAGATACAATAGAACGATGAAAAATCAATACTTTAAATTTTATCTTACAATTTTTAATCTATTATTAGAAATATATATTCGCAATGGAAAATTTCAGTGACTTTTTCATATTCGAACCAACGTATACATATATATATATATATATATATATATATACGGACATATGTACGGTTTGTATTGGGACAAAGAAAAAAAAAAAAAAGAAAAGAAAAGAAAAGAAAAGAAAAAAAAAGAAAAAAAAGAGAAACATTTTAATCAGGATGGAACAATTTTCAACTTCCAAGTTTTGCACGCGGGTTGATGTGTATATAAGTACGTTACTCTTTCATTTTTTTTCGAGTGTTCTTTCTGAAAATTTTGTAGCTAAACTTGACAAATTGAGGAACGCTGAGAGTCACTGGTACAAAGGTAAAAATTTATACTCGCTATATATATATTTCAGTGCGTATGTACACAAAAAAAATGAGAAATGTTAATCATACCCTGTTTCTATAGCGAATGAAAACTGACGTCAAAAAATGACGCATAAAAAACAGCAGTTAATTCCCACTCAACCAGAATAAATTAATTACGAACGAAATGGTTCAGGTTTCTGCTTAATTGCTCGTTTCCATACAGTTTTTTTACTTCTATTCTTCAACTATTATTAGTGAAATCAAATAAAAAAAAAAATCGACCGCAAAATGGCTTCCGTTAAGATAAAAATGATCTCCATATGAATTTTGTTAATTTTTTACAATCACTGCAAAAAACAAACGATAAAATTTACTTATTGTTTCAGTATTTGAACTTATTTTGCAATAATCAAAATTTTAATATTTTTGATAAAACTGTTCTACCATTAAATTTCACTGTTTTATGTAAAGCTTTAACTCAACAAAACTGTAATGCACTAGTCACAGGAACAGGATTAATACGCGAATCGTGCATTTATTCGATGGAACTGTTTGTTTATCAGGAAGTTGACTCGGGTCCTATCCGAAATTTACAATCGCCCCTGTCGCTCTTCAAATAAACCTCTCTCGAAAAATCGATGCGCAATCACGGAACATCACTGGCGAAATTCGCTAGCGACAGCACATAACAATGCACTACATATCATGTCACCGTTTATTGCACCAAATGTATTTCTAATATTTATCGATATATTGTCTAAACAATCGAAACTCTAATCGATCGATAAAAATGTTCGAAATATGATTAATCGAGATTATATTTTTTTTTACAAATATACCAAGATTCACATATCCAACGTTCAATAATATATATTTACACTGACTTGAATTTTATTCAAGTCATCCGTTTCTTGCCTAAAGAATCATAAGATCTACATATTTTTTTTGTCTCATAACCTACAAAAATGACACGCTTGGTAAATGCGAAAAGCAGCGACAAAGTATTCTTAGGAAAAAGGGAAATTAGCCAATCCAAGAAGGTACGCGCAAGACATTATCTCGGCTACAAAGAGGTTGACAAAGCGAGACTGTTCGCGGATGAAAAATTTCTAGACCATCCCTCATAATCAAGGACATGACTAATGGACTCGCCAGGCTGTGGCTATACTGTATTCAACCAGATAGAATGCATAGTGCACGCGTGCCTTCAAGCTACGTGTCTCTTTTACCGACTGAAATCAATAGTTCTCGTTATTTTACAAGAAGAGAATGTGTAATTTTAGCTAACTGCACATGAATATTATAAACTGGATTCGCGAATACCGTGGATCAATAATACTTATTTTGGATTTCAGTGATGCAGATAATTGAAACGAGAACGACGACCTGTCGTTAACCAGAGATCGTTGCCCGGTAATCTTAAATTTTCATTTATTTGAGGAACAATCATTAATGCAATATTATAGAAGATAAAAAATAGAAGAGTAAAAAAGAACAAGAAATAATGAAAATGATGAATACGAAAGGTTTTCAATTTCATCTCTGATAAGATTTTCAACAATTTAACTATGGAAAAATTCGAATCGCTTTGAATATATTGTCTAGATTGAAGAATGTTTGAGAATCTTGAAAAAAAATCTTGAAACATCGGTGCTTCTTAAACGTCTTGAGAACAACTGAAATATGCAGCAGGTGAGTTCAGACAAGAGGAACGGGGAACGAAGCATAGAAAGAGATGGACTGATAAGAGATTTAGAAGGGGCAGAATAAGAGGCGAAAAAGAAGGAGAACAGTTAGAAGGAGGCAAGCAAGCAGCAGTTGATTAACTTTTCACTTGGCGTTATTACTTTGAAACAGCCATACGATTCACGTCCATTGCTTTTAAAAAGTTGCGTTTCAAATATCATTCGATCAATACGCGACCAACTTCACTCGGTTGATTTATCGTTAACAATATTATATTTTAAACTTCCTCGTATTTTTTGCTGAATCCACCGCGCACATTTTATGTCATGAATATTTTTTCCCTATTTCAAGTGGAGATTTGTGTATCTCGTACACATTTATTTTTACGTTCTGCTAATTTTTGAGCTCGGATTATTCTATTAACTATCCTGCTACATTTTCCTGCTGCACTCAAAATTATCCTATCAAAAAAATATCGTACGTTTATGAATGTATATATATAAACTATCATAGATCCGGATTTTTATTTTACAATTCTCAAAACAATTAAGAGAAATGTTATATATATTCTGTATAGAAAAATTGCATAATGAAAAGTATATAGGCGAATTAACTTTCATGATCAATGTATGAAAATGAATTTGAATTTATACAATATTTAAAATCTGTTTGTTTTTAAAGTGAAATTTGAAATAAATTATAAACTAAATTATATATTACATATTGAATTCGTAAATTAAATATTAAAATTAAATTATTTTGCTATCCATTCTTTTTATTTTTAGATAATGTAAAAGATGAAAATAATCAAGAGAGGAGAGAGAGAGAACATGGAAGACATAAAAAAAGAGGAAAGAAATAAAATCATTATATTATATGTATCCATCTCAATGAATGTAAATGAGAGAATTCAGAAACACGAAATAATCTCTTATTTTATGAATTCGACAGAATGCCCGCTTGCGCATACGCAGATACATAGTATACGGTTGCTGAAATTAACCAAGAGCCTATAGACGAACAAAAGCTCATTGTTGTATGAGAGAAGGTAACTGTTCGATTTGGCTAGCAACATCAAATTTCTATTTGCGAAAATTTATAGTAATTTAACCGTCGAATCTTATCACAATACTCTTCATTGCAGTTTATTGAAATATGAGATAATAGGCCAGATAATTCATAATGAAGAATAATGAAATGATTAATTTTTCTCGAACAGCTTCTTTCAACGAATGCACTGGTAAGAAAAGGAAAGAGGTAAGAGAAAATCAAATGACACCTGGAATCATTTTTAAACGATTTAATTCTTTCATATTTTCTTTTCAAGCGAATAATGATTTATAACGCCATAAATTTTTTAAGTGGATTTCATACAAAAAGAAACATATGAATAAAGTAGAATAAAAAAGAAGAATAAGGATAGAAGATAAAGAATATGGAGATAAAAAAAAAATAGAAATTAAAACAAGAATAAAAATAAAACAGGAAAGAGAAACAAAAGGATAGTAACGTACAACGAAAAATGTAGAACAAAAACTGAAGGATATCGAAATAATAAAAAAAAATATATATGTCTAGATAAATGGCTAGATAAGTTTAAATGGACGGATAGATCGACAGCTAGATAGAATGATAAACAACTTGATAAATCTTTTATTTTAGTAACAAAGATTAAAAGTATGTAGTAATAGAAATAGAAAATAGAAAAAGAAAGAGGCGAAGTAGAGAATAGAAGCGAGAGAATGAGGAAGAAATTGTCGAGAGCAGTACTGCTAATATCCTGGGGGTGGTCATGGGATAGGGTGCACCTGCGCGTATGACAGATACGCCCCTGGCATAAAGGCGACATTTAGGTCACCGGCTTTTACCGCGGCAGACTGCACATGTAGACAGGTCTTACTAGTGATCGTTTTCACTACTAGCATCAACTCTTTTCTACAAAAAAATTCTTCTTATTAAAACTATTTATGATGATTACTCATTATTAAATTCATTATTAACAGAAAGATTTTTTTCAATTATCCTTAAATTATTATGTTTAAATTTCATATCTATCTTTTACGAAAAACGCAAATGATACGTTTATAATAAAATAATGAAATTTATTCTAGTTACATAGTTTTGATGAGTATAATTATATTATGTCTAACATACATAGCATATCTGTATAGTTATAAATAGAACATAACATAAATAAAACAATGGCATCAAACGCATATATAACAAAAAATTATATCATCAATCAGTTATTATTTAATTCTAATATATTTATCAAATTATATGATATTTACGTACTCGTAATGTAGGACATTTTAAGCAAATATGAAAAGAAGAGAAAATTCTCCTTGTCTCTTTTTCTCTTACTCTCATCAAAATAGGTTAACCATTATATATATATTTATCCATTCGATACGCAGGCCAATTATTACTGCACTTTACTGCGGAATAAATTACAGAAAAATAAATTGCATAAAGATCATTCAATAACTTTGATTATTTTCTATTTCTTTTTTCTTTATTGACAGTTTTCATTGTTAAATTTGAATAATACATGACAAAAATAATTTTATTAGACAATATGCAACACAAATGGATCAATGATATAGATTTAAAATATAAACATATTTTTTTTATTAAATATTATAACATTTTAAATTAAGCAAATTAAGATGATAAGAAAAATTATTTTTTATCATTAATATCATAAAAATGCATGATTTCTTTCTAAATAATGTTCTCATCTTTTAATTGAAATGTTCTTTGTCTTTATTAAATATAATTTACGATTTAATTTTTGTTTTAAACGTACCTGCGTCTTCCAATAAAATAAATATTTCATTAAAGTAATTCTATGATAATTTCTAAACATCAACAACTTAAAAAAAAAATGTATTTATAATAAATATATTATTAAACAAATTGATTCATTTTTCTCGAACAAAAATATTATATTTAAATCTTATATTTACACAATTTAATAAAACTTTATTTAACAATTTGCACTTCTTTAATACTATGACGATTATTCTGTCATCTGGCGACAAGTTTATCAAGCGACAATAATTTGACAATAGTGAACATATACCAAGACATGGTACAGAATGTAACAGAAGGAAAATTATCGTCCTGACGCCAATTCCGATCCTGACAAAGCTTTGTTGGCGACGTCAGTATATTCGGGCATCTGTAAGCTTAAGACACTTCCGGGACAAGGGTAACGACTGTTCCCGTATCTATATACGACACTAGGTAAATGTTCGTTGTACGAGTTGCCGCCTCAAGAGTGGAATTCGTCAAATCAACATAACCTCTTCTCCTTGAACGAAGTGACAAAATATAACTCCTTCTTCTAAAATGTTTCACAATATAGTTAAACGTATTAATAAAATGGAAATAAATATTAAAATTTCGGGATATCGCGGAAGTCTCAAGAATTCAGTTTGATTATGATCGGTTACAAATCGTGGCATACAAATCGTTCTCGAAGAAATTGTTTTACATCTCGTTCTCTCAAAGAACTGTTGATGTTTGAACAAAAAATTAATGCGGAAATCAACGATAAACATCGATTCAGAAAAAAGTTATAAACTTTATTATATTAGTCAATTTTTTATGTAATTATCTGTAGTCATCAACAAATTAACAATCAAATATATTATTATCTATTCTTCTATTCAATTTTTTGTTTTGAACGCCAAAAATAACTATATCGTTTGTTTTTTTCAGTTTGTTGTAAATTTAAAAAAAAAAATAAAACTGTCTGGGAAATACGAGTGGATGAAATAAGAAAATAAAAAAAAAAAAAATTATCCAGTTTTTGTCAATATGCTGGTCTGATATTATTCACAGAGCTCTTTGAAAAGATCAACCGAATCAACAATGATAAATTTGAAGCGTAAAGCGAATAATCACGCGAATAGACAAAAACCGAATGGAAACAAAAGCGCGCAAATGCGAGAGGAAAAAAATCACAATTCTTCTCTATCGGTTTCAGAACATTTAATTCAGAGATGCAATGGGAAAGAGTGAGGAGGAGGGTTATTCATGGGAGTGAGCGAATTAATGCGAAAATTTAATGCAGCTGTCACGTGTCCAGCCGTTACTAAATCTACGTATAACGTCATTAAATCGGCGAAATCGGCGCTGCCATGACTCTACACGCGTTTTGTTTCACCTCGTCCACACAGGCCGTATTGTAACGTGTGACCCGTTTTGCACTCACTAATTGTAATAATTTTCTGACTCTCGAGTGTACCATAAAAGCGTCAAAAGGATGCGGACAACCGTTCGAATTATATAGGTCGTTTCATAGGTTTGGTATACAGGATCGATCATCCAATTGAGGTTTATAAAAAAAAAAAAAAAGAAAAATATGAAATACAAATAATTTGACGAATATACGTACTTACGTATTCTATGGTGTCGAACAGATTGTGAATCTGCATGTCAACAATCGACATATAACCTCAAAAGGGAACAATTTTTTTTTATATCGTTAACTATTTGCACTATTGGCACAATGATGAATCAATATCTCTCATTCTTTTTATTTTTGTCAAATTTTCATTGAACTTTATTTAAATGAAAAAAGTGTCTTTGGTAAATAGAAATTATTATTGAACGCAGTCTTATTAAAAGAAAAAATTCATTTAAATGAATTGATAATGAAACGATTATTTTCCATTCATTATATTATTAGAAGTTTGTTTTTTTTTTTTTTTTTTTTTTAGATCAATATGAATTTGCACCGATAGCTCAAAAACTTCCGAGTCTTACAGCAAACTTTTCCATAAATTACATAGAAGAGAATATGGATATATTAAAAAGCATGTAACAAATATATTCTCTGCGATATTCAGAATCTGGAGAACACAAGTATATATATTATATATACAAGTATATAATATATACAAGTATATCTTATAATCTAATGAAGATTGGTAATTCACTCGACTCGGTAGAATTTGAAAATAATTTAATTAGAAATTCTTGTTTCTAGGAATTTTACATGTTGTCCTTTGGCATGAGTAAATACTAAACATGCTATTACGTAGATACTTATTTTGGAAAACTAGCACGAATTTGATTATTTCAAAACTTAAAATCAACCATTATTTCACCTGATTTTATCTGATTCGAGGGAGTCGAATACCTAACCTCTTTTTTTTCTGTAAATATTACATTTCATAGAATTAAGAGCTTCTCTTCTTTCTATCATATTAATCATGATTAATTTAAACTTGATAATTAAGATATTACTGTAACAAAACGTGATATCTTAGCTTCTGGTATTATTAATTAAAAACACATGACCAACTCGAGCGAACTGGTGATTTTAAAAACGTGTAATTTTCTTTTTCAGCAAAGTAGAAGAGCGCTAATTTCCGATCACGTGGTCGAACAATTCTCCCGAAGAATATTTTCAACCGGTCCTGATGGGAGAAAGTCTGTTCCATTGTTGGAGAATTTTAAAGGTATAATGGAATCTATCGGTAGCTCGTTATTATCTCACCGAGGCGAAATTCAATCGAGCCACCCCTTCATCTCTTGGTTCTCCCCTCTGTGTTCGAACTATGACTTCGGTTTCGGTCAATATTCTGAGTAATCTTCTTCGATGGTTCGCCAATTACGTGAGAGAGAAAAATATATAATTCCATATGGAACAGAAAACCACAAACTCGTTGGTAATTTACTAGCTTTCTTATTTACTATACATAGTTCGGAAGATGATATGGGAAGAGCAATAGAGAAAATTGCTTGATTTCCGACATAGAACACCAACCACTAGTCGAGAAATTAGATTAACAGATTAGCGAACGCTGTGGTCTGATATATGATCTCTCCCCTCCCCTCCCTCCTCTCTCCTTGTCATTTTATTTTTACATTCCAATTCCATTCCAGTTTCCTCGCTCGAAATTGTAATTGTAATAATTCTACGCGCGGATGCGTAATACTCTCGAGGGCCAACGTTCGAGTCGCGTAATTAAATTTGTGTTAAACAATTTAATCGCGTAAAATTCGTGCACGACTTGAGAGAATATATTGGGAAAAGAATCATATAACTAATTTTGAATTGATTGTAGGGAAAAAATAATGAAGGATATACAAACTGTGTTCAACTTCGAGGAAAGATAATTCATCAATAATAATTCATATTAAATTTTTATTATTAAATTTTTCATATTAATTTTAATTATCACTCTTTTTAATTAAACGAATTTAAATTTCAGATGACAAGGATAAAAGGAGAGGATCTGTTTATCGATCAGCAGTCAAACATATTTTCAAACCGAACTTTCCGACAATTTATTACATCGATCAGTCTTGGGAATCTCGAGGAATCATAGCTTCCCTGCTCGAATGGAAAGTCGTCTGCAAAATGTATTCCCTCTCCTCGATACAGTCCATATGCAAACGACGATGCAGTTTGTTTGAATCTGTTCTATCCAAACAGCTGCACCGTGTACTCATTGAAACTATACACCCACGTAAATGTATGTATGCATACAGAATCCCAGAGGTGCGCGGTAGTATGGAATCGGGTTTACCCCGGTCGACTCTCTTATCCAAGAAGGGAAAGGCAAAACACCGTGAGAGGATACATATGTTCGGTGCAAGCGGCCGGTAATCGATCATGGAAATCCCGTAAAAAGTACCAGGGATGTCTGGCCCATCGGTCTCCGAGTGTCAAACGAGAATTAATAGTTCGCCAGAGTAATGTACAATGTGTACCAGACCGGTTGGTACACGATGAATAAAGATGAGGCCGATGGACGAATCGCTTCATCGATGTTGAAGAAACAAAGGAGAAAAAAATGGAGGTGGCATACAGTGTAGGGAGAAGAAAGACGAGAGGAACAGGGGGCATAGGAATAGGTGGGTGGAGGGAAATACGTTGGCCGAAAAAGGGCAGAAAAAGAAATTAATAATCGGGGCGGGTCACACGATGGTTGTGGCCGTGAGGCGGGGATAGAGGGGATGGAAAATTTAACCTGACCTTTTTGAAATTCTAATTTCGTTGAAAGCACTTCGAAGCAAGCGGATTTTCATTTTTCCCCCCCCCTCCTCCTTTGCGGTCTTTCTTCTTTTTCTTCTCTTTTTGCACCCTGTTTCCTCCTTTTTTTTTTTTTTTTATTCTCCATTTGGTCCTTCTTTTTTCTCTCGCTTCTCTGTGTTTTGCAGATCGTAGTAATAGACGCGAAAGACGGAAATAAACGCTTTGACGAGCGGTAGCCTCGGTTCCCTCTGTTAAAAAGATTAATGAGGAGAGATCGTTTCCGGGACTTCAATTTTATTAAAGGAGGTTCAAAGGGAATCCTTCGCGATACAGTGTATCCCTTCGCCCTGTCCGCCAGCAGATTTAAAGTGGAATGGAGATGGAGGAAAGCGATGGAAGGAAATAGGAGGGAATCAGCACGGTGTTGCATCACGAACAACAGTAAAGAAAATCCTGGTATTGTGCAAAAAATGCAACGTAGACAATGCGTAGACAGAATCAATGCATGGGATATACTATATTCAATAGGTGGATATATTGAATAGCTCTTAACTGTTATATTTAATTATCTCTTTCATTTTTATATATCAATATTAAAAAAATATATATATGGTATATCATTATTAATTTTATCTATTATTACAGGAATCGTCAACAATTTCATTGGATTCTCATCAAATTAGATTACAAGGAAATACTGGGATATTACTATATACGTCGAGCTATACGTATACACAACAGATGGAAATTTCGTATGTGAAACACATTCAAAGAAAAACTTTCTCGACGATGAAATAATAAATTACGAGAAATCACGATAGCTTCACGATAACGTCGATCGAAGCTCGACACTTCCTCTACAAATCGTCTCCATTTTGAAGCATCGTGAAGCACGCCAATCGGTGAGAAACTTAAGAATAGACCCCCGTCGATACAGAGAGAGAGAGAGCGATAAATGCGCCTGCGGCGGTGGAGCGTGAAGTTCCTAACAATTCCCATTTTATGCTCTCCAGATTCCGCTATGTCGCCGTTTCTTTTCCGCCCAGACACTCTGTATACGTAATTCCCGTAGCCGCGATAGCTTCTTTGTCCCTATTCGCGTATCCTGGTTACAAAGCGGGCTACCTTTCGCTTTGATCGTGACGTATCCTGCAGTTCGGCAACTTCTCCAGGCTTCGTCTTCCTCCTCTTCTTTTCTTTTTGCCAACTAGAGAGTTGCTTTGGATGAGTAGTTTTCTGTTGATAATACCTTCCAAGCGAGTTTTTTTATCAAGTATTCTATAGATATTACTATGAAGATAATATAAAAATATTTAGATTTTAGTCAGATATTGTGTGAATAATTAAAAAAAAATTATTATTAGAATACATTATTGAAAGATAAAAAGAGAAATAATTTTAATATAAATTTAATTATTCAATTTTCAGGAGACATTATTGGATGTCTATCGACAAAGAAGGATACAAGAAGAAGTGCAATAATCTGGATGAGATCAGAATTAATAAACGATCCTGTTTGGAAAAGTTTCTAGTCCTTTAAGAACATTCGGGCATCGTGACTCGGAGGATGCGCGATCCTCAACGTCGCGACGATATACCCGGTTTCGTGTCTATTATACAAAGCTTTCTCGAAAACTTGAAAGGAAAAAAATATAAAAACAATAGAGAAAAAAATGGCGAGAAAAGAAAAAAAAGAAAGAGGAGGAAAAAGGGAACACAAAGTTTCCATCACGCAAGTGAGAAGTCTACTCGTTTGCTCACTCGTTCATTCGCACGCCTCTGCGAAGATTTACGCCTGGTCGTCTGTAATTTAATAGAGGATACTTTGCCGGAGTTCCTTCGAGAGTTACCTGTTCTGTTCGCACGGCCCGCGGAACGTGAGCTGACTTTGTGTCTCGGCATATCGTAGGGAAAGACAAATAAAAAAAAAAAATAGCTTATGGAAAAAGGAAAAGGAGAAAGCGAAGAAGAAGGAAAAGAAATGAAAGAAGTGAAAGAGAAGCCAGATTGCGCGCAGATCGTAGTGTCGTTATTCACCGAACCGGCTCGAATATCTAATTACGATGAAAGAGGCTGTCCACGTAGCGGGGTCCCAATGAAAAATTCAATATGAAACTGTAATCGGGAGCTCTGTCTTTCTCCACGGATTAGTATCGGCGGCCTGGCCGCCTTCTTCGCTTCCAATGTCCGTGATTTATGACCGGGCCATACGTAACGCGCATCGGCTGAATAATTTTCTCTGCCGGCTCTATGTACGATACTTTTCCATTCTCATCGATCTCCAAGTGTCAAACTGGTATTAGAATCGGCCGAATGTTGTACGATGTCTTATCGAGTTCTCGTCGTTGAAGGCTCATCTTGCCCCTTTTACTTTTGAGTGAATCAGAGTTCACAGAAATGGAAGTAAATCGACTGACAAAAAGGCCAATCGATTGCTTGGCATTCTGATATTTATTCAAGTTGATTTCGAGGTGAACGTAGTTCAGATGATATTTTATCTGGAGTGAAGAAGTGAAGAAAGAAAACTTAAAAGAGATATTTTTGTGTTGAGACAGTTATGGAGATAGGTTTGAATCAGAACTGTTGCTTCTAGCCTGAAGAGTTTATAGTTATATATATATATAATATATAGAATAAGAGAAAAGAAAAATACTGTTAAAGAACATATTTAGAAGAAATAATGGTCGAGATAATATCAACAGTATTAATAAATTTGATAATAATATTAATAAAAATTATGAGAAAGTTATAAGAAAAAAGAAATAATTTTGTGTAGAGAAGTGTAAAGCCATTAATCTAATGACATTCTTAATTGCAGATTCGACAGGAATTTCTAGTTTAAGACTGTGATGCTTTCTATAAGAAATTTCAAAGAAAAAGCGACAAAAACAAGTCCTCGATCAAATCCCGCATCTAGCCCTGGTAAGTTTCTTTCTGCGCGCTAATGATCCCCAAATCTTCAAAAGACTCGGATCGCAATCTTGTTTCCTTTTAGAATACCTGTTTATCTTGTAGCAATATCGAACCGTAGACGAGAAAGATTAGACATGCCTTGTTATGAGGTGAGATAGAGAATTCAAATTTTCCCTTTCGAAGTGAACTTCGTTAGCATAACAACGATCTGCAAGGAACACGTGGGACGTGAAACATTCAACAAAATGTAAAAAACGAAGAGACATGCTTCCAAGGGAACGAAGCTGTGCAGGCGCAATGATAACGTCGAGAAATTTTCACGTCGCGGCTCTTAATAAAACTTACGAAACGCACGAAACGTAATAAACGAGCGACGTGTATAGGTGATACACGCGGCCAGGCGACTGACCCACTTTTTCTCAAGATGTATGAATATTAGTTTAACGAACTTGCCGCAACGAAGATATATTTGCCACTCTTTCCTTCTTGCTTTTTCCGTAGGTAGATAGTATTGCGCTTCATGTACTTGCATTGCACGAATTTTTTTCCACATTAAACGAGCCGTCTTCAACTCGGGTGGTAATCAGCCATCTTCTTATTTTCACAAACGTTTTGCATTTTAAGCACGATGTCACGTAAAGATTTATCATCATTCTTAATCTAATATCTTTCGCGCGATATTTCAAAAATATCTAATATAAAATTGTAAAATCTATTTATTAGTCTGTAATATATATATATATGATTTATCACTTGTCAATTTACTAATATCATTCGTTGGTAATCCATAGCATAAGATGCCCCTAGATGTCAGTTTGATCGTAATTCTCTAGTAGGGGGAAAGCAAGCAGATTAACGCCGGTCAGAGTAATAATTCGTGCGGAGAACATCGGAAACGGTTGGAACGTCTGAATCGCATATCCGGCCGAAATGGCCGGATACGAATCGAGTGTCAGCTTTGGGAATTCAGCCGGTCGATCGGTCGATTATACACGCCGTAATAGAGCGTCACGCAACTATGAGAATCCGTTGTGTACTGGTTGGCTTCGAGCTGCCTCGAGATGTGTCGAAACAGAAGCTTCCACGCCACGCGCCACGCTTCAGGATTTGCAAGTGGACACGTGTATGTAGTTACCCTTTGGCATCGTGTTCTCGACGTGGAATTAACAACACGACGTCATTAGACCGGATGGAATAACTAATGAAAGACCGATTGGACGATGAAGATTGATTTTCAAAAATATAAAGAGCATTTCTAGTTGTAAATTAATATATGGAGTTAAAATATTTGATTTTTTTCGTAAGTGCCCAGTTTATTTAAATACAAAAGATCTTTCTATGTATAAATTGCAAAGAATTAAAACTTTTTATAAATTGTATCTAATATCTTTTTCCATGCATCGAATAGTTACTTTTGTATCGATAGATTGAAAATTGTCACTCTATAAATGTTGAAACATCTCTTGACGTAATAATCCTGGCTGATCAATGATTGACAACTAACAATAAGTGGATGCCAATTAAATTCTCTTTTTTAAACACAGAAGCCCTATTGATGAAATGGTTGTGACAGCCCAGTCGATCATCGATACTGCCTTTTCCACGTATCATCTATCATTGGTTAAAACAGAACCTAATAACAAGCAAGAATATTCAATTGGAAGAATCTCAGTTACTTCGGAACAGGAAACGATTACAGGATAATCAGAATCATCTACGTTTAATTGTAAAATGGTTTTACAATCGGATACTTATAATCGATTAGTAACGATCGAGTTAATGCTTTTCAATTAAAACTTTCTGTCGACAGGAACGAATTCTGGACGTTGATAAAAGCATCGATTCCATGCAAGAGACAATATCTGAAGAATTTCAACGTGAAATCAATCTGACGATTACATTTATTTTATATTTATGGAAAGATCAAACTATACGACATACATAATACATCCACTTCATTGGAAGTTTACGAAACAGTAGACGTTATCTATCCTTGTACAACGACACGAAGATTCGCCAACAACTGCAATCGTCGGAAAAAGATACGAAAGCGTGCAATGTTTTAACTCGATTCAGAATTACCAGCTTGAACACGTGTACATGTGTATCCCCTTGTTGCGCGTTCACCGCGGCCATTAAAGCCGCAGCTTTAACTGACCCCGGTGGAGCTTTGCCGATATATTTTCCAGTAGAGGCCAGTAAACGCTGCAGTAAGTTGCTCACAGATCTGTCGATCGACATTTTATTGAACTATCTGGAACTAATTGTACTTGAAATTAGTCTTGATCTCTATCCAGATTATATTTAAACTTTGTCATTTCTATTAATGACAGATTAAAAATTTCTTTGAAAATTTTTGAGAATTCATATTGATATCACATATCAAGATATTACATGGTAAATGTAAATGGTAATTATTCTATATATTTTATAATATCATTCTTAAAAAAATCTTTTGAATTTAAAGATAGATTGAATGATATTTAAACTTTGTCATTTCTATTAATGACAAAGTGATTAAAAATTTCTTTGAAAATTTTTGAGAATTCATATTGATATCACATATCAAGATATTACATGATAAATGTAAATGGTAATTATTTTATATATTTTATAATATCATTCTTAAAAAAATCTTTTGAATTTAAAGATAGATTGAATGATATTATCCATTTTTTTCCTCTATAAAGAACACTACTTTATTTTTTTATTCTTATTCTTTACAGCTTATAAATAACAAGAAGATAGAGATAGATATTTTTCCCAGTATTCAAGCACCAAATCGTCAAATCATCCCATTATTCAAATCAGAAGACAATCAATCATCTAATCAACGATTCAAACTCTAATTATCAAGAGACTCTCAAAGTTCCTACTTCAAGATTGGAAACCGTGGAATTCCATTAAAGTACAAGTTCGTCCTATCGAGGAGTGAACTGCAAGAAAATACAGACAGAGTAACTCGGTTCCACGACCAGATCGAACAAAACGCTATTCGCGATACATGAAGGGAACGAGTTACTCGATATCCTTTTTTTCACTACCGGGAGCATGCACACCCTGATGACTGATCGTGGGAGCTCTTATTAAAGCGATTCACGTAATTCTTCGCAATCCATGTTTCAAAAGGCGATGAACTATAACGTTTTCATTAGTGCTAGCTCGCTACGTGTAATTCCAGTGCACTGGTTGCCTTTTCGAGTCGTTTCATTCCAAGCGTATATATCTCCGCGGTTCATGGCCAATGAGAATGCGATCCGGCTTCTACCTCAAGGTATTCTCTGCTCTTCTCTGTTTCCGCCGGAAGCCGCCGACTCGATTAATCGTCGATGGAAGGTAACGTGTAACGGAGGCCAGAGTCAATCTCTTTGAGAGAAAAAGAAATTGTCTCTTCGTTTGTGTTTTATGTACAGCTTCTGGATAATTTGAAAGTTTTTTCGAAAAAACTTTGGAAAAAAAATTTAATCTTTGTCTTTTTGAACGAGAAGAGAAGTCATCAGAATATGAGAAAAGAAGAAAGAACGCTTTTCTCTTTTAAACTTGAAATTTTTTTTTATTTATAGCAATTTAAGAAGAAAAGTGTTTGAAAAGAAGGGGAATAATTATCAATAAGGATGAAATAGTTTTCTTGTTGTGAAACTTGTAAAGCCAAGTATTTCGGTGCATGATTGTAGAATCGGTGCGTCGGATCTCTATGCACAATGAATGCTGGCACGAGGAGTTACCGCAATGGTGCCATTTGCTGCCGGAAACGTTGACCAGGGTATCGTAAAGAAGTTCAGAGAAGCCTCGAAAATGTGCACTGGAAGGCGACTTCTTTCCTTTGCGTGGCTGAAAGAAATTGAATTTACCGCTTTGTGAGAAACACCAAGATCTGCAACGTTCGAATCTCGTGGCCATTTTGAGCCCATCTTCTAGAGAAGCCAGAAACAGTTAATAGGATCATGAAAATCTAATAAATCTATTGGAATGTTTAATTACAATTCATCATTTTATCTTTTTACTTTAAATATTATTGTGAATGTTAACAAATTTAACAAGGTACAGGAATTGATAAAACAAAAATTGAATATCACATAAGAGTAAGTTATTTTTTATAAAATTATATTTTAATTTTATTTTAATTATATTTTAAAAAGAAAAAAAATACATTATTGCTATAATTGAATTTCATAGACCATTCTTTATATTATCTGAAAAAAGTAATAATAAATTTTCTCTTCTTAGAATTGGCCACGTGGCAAACGAATCCCTGATGGAATGTTAAAGTTCGACATCCATGAAAGGAAACCATTTCTCAACCAACTCTTCGAACGGTAACGATAGTGGAAGAAAAGAAGGGGCATGAAGGAAGTTTCGCAGAAACGTAATAACTCTGGCAAAGATTAGACGGATAAGGGGGAACCGTCAAGACGTCTACTTTGTAAGATAAGATTCGGCAGAGACGCTTTGAAGCCTTTCGTATCGATAATGTAACTTTGACCGACCAGTCGTGTAACACTGAATCGCTCAATTACCAGGTCCAAGTATAACCGTGCAATGACTCGTGCACTTGGCAAAAAGAAAATGGAAAAATCGACTGATACGGAGTTCTAATAAAAATGATCATTTTTTTATTAATCGATCGATCCTTTTTTCAATTAATAAATTTTTAAATTATTTCAAAGAAATCATTAATATATAATTATTATAGAAATTTTTGATATCGTATACATAAAGTAGATCAGAATACTATTCGTTATTTTTTCGAAATTAAAAACATTTTTAATTTCTCGTTAACTCCGTTTCTAACTTTGGCATTTTCATTTCAGGAATCTAATTAATCTTAATCAAGACAAGAATTTAATTCGTAAAAGTAAACTATTGCTTAGAAATTAACACTTCATTCGATAAATGATCTGAATGAGAGAGTATCAAGGAGTGCGTCGTAAAGATTTATGGTTCGTGAATCAACGTGAAGACAAGAAACGTTGGAATCCATCTTGGAAACTAGTGGATGAACGGAAGAATGCTTGCACATTGTCGACAGACACCAGGAACGAGAATCTGAACAAGATTAGGCTAGTTTCCAAGTCAGCCGAGAGGACAGCCGTGCCACGCGACACTTTGTCGGCGACCAGTCCCTAATGATCGTTCGCATTTGTCGAATTTAATTCCGGATATTCGATTCCTAAATGCCTCGGGGCGAGACGAAAGCCAGCTGCCGGTGGAATCGATTCGAACATATCCCTGCTGGAGTTCAAGAGGTTGGATAGTTATCGGAAACGTGGCTAAAAACGATAGACTATATAGAAGATGGGAATGAAATACTATCTTGACCCTATTTACCGGCCTATAGATTCTTTGCTTATGAGTCGCTTGTTTAAACTGATATCTGATAACATAGTTTTTTTGATTGCAATCAAATATAATATCCACCAGTATTACTCGATAATATTTGATCACTTATCACATATAGATAAATGTGGGTCGGTCAATTAATTAAATTGGATTTTTCTTTCTTATTTCTTAAAAAATATGATATAAATGAATAAAAAAAAATGTTACAATGGATGTAACTTACATTCTGCTGTTACTTTTTGATATTTTGCAAGTATCTACAAACAGTTGTCGAATTGCATCTACAAAAATTTTTTATTATATGATTTAATTATGGTTTCATTGATTTATGTTGTTTTGTGAAATAATATTCTGCAAGATTGGTACATAAAATATAATATACATTAATAAAACATGTGATTACAGAGTGAAAAATAATTAACAAAAGCAATGTATAATGAATAGTAGAGATTGACAAGAAAATAGTTAAAGGAATGCTGGGAATGCTGGCTCGCGCGCTCGTGTATGCCTTGCGACATTAATCCATTTTCAGATAATCATGCTCTCTGGTCGCTTAAACCTGACAAACTGTTTTCTTTGTGTTCAAAACGATAAGACAATCAGATCTTTTACGAATTATGCACAATTATGTCACGATCGTGGAATTAGAAATTTTCTAAACTTTAAATGTCATTTTCCGACGGCAAAATTTTTATGCAAGTACAAAAACGTCTAATCAATAGAAATTGCGCATGGATGAACAATGCATTTTATGTTTAATAGCGTTGTTAAAAATTATGATTATGAATTGGAAAATGGTTTGGAAGTTTTGAAACTAGAAGAGAATCTTTATAGTTCAATGGGTTAGAACAAAGAGATTGATTATGAGGTATTAAACTGGATAAGTATATATGATTATTATTTCTTCCTACATCATTCTAGCTAAGTTTAAAATATGTATTTTTGTTAGATTTCAATGGTATCTATGACATCAATAGTTCAAGAAATATTTTAAAAATATATAATTTTACAGATCACAATATTTAGACGCTTTTCTGATATCTATCCAAATTATCATTGCAAATGTAGCTCTTACAAACATAATTACGACAATTATAAAATATAATATATAAAATAACACTATAAGAAAAACTCAAATGAAATTATGAAATCTCATAATGGAGAAGTAATAACACATCACATATTTTCAATTTTGAATATCATTTCACATTAACCCATATATATTTCACATGTGTACAAGTTGATTCAACACCCAAAAAATTTCTTCCTTTTCGTTTTATAGAAACTAGCTCGATCATTAACCAAAGATAATCACGATGGCGGACGCATAACTTGATCAATCCTCGACGATCTTGGCGATGTATTTTTTTTTTTTTTTTTTATTTCTTTTCCTTATTTCTCTCTCCCTTTTTAGTTCGCAGTTGCGCAATCTTCCCCGTACTTTGAACGGTCTCGTTTCACCGTCTGCTCCGCTCCTTCGAGCAGATTTATTCTATTTATTCGCTCAACCTCGAGGGAAGTCGGCCGATTACGTCGAAATTCCTTCTCCAAAGCCCTGCGAATCGACCTCTTTCCAATCTTTCTCTCGCTCGTTCCTTTTTTCCCTCTCCTTCCTCTCTCTCTCTTCTAGCCAAGCTTTCGAGTGTTTACTCGCGTGTTCGAGTTCTGTCAGTATCACACGCTCTCCGCCAAACAAATCGATCGTCTCCTATCGCCGCCTCTTTTCGCCGATTTTCGCCCGCCTTTCGACTCGACCGATCCCCCGGGACCACGAAGCTTTTACGGGTGAGAAACCAGGGGACCAGCAAGATCAATTCAAACAATATATGCACGATAACAATACGTGACAATAATAAGATTCCACCTGAAATATGGTAATCTATATAAAACGACAAAATTAAATTGTACTTACATGTCCAAGGATCAGCCACGTTGAACGACAGGCTTAGGTACGAAGTTCTCGTCGCCTGGTGCGAGGAGAATCGGCTTGGCAACCGATGGAGTCGCGCGTGTGAACGTCCCTCGACACACAACGTGCACGCTTATCCGGGCTTCACAGCCGCGTCTTCCCTTCTATTGCGACGTCGCGCCTCCTCATCTCGCCATCACTTGTCCACGCAGAGATTCTTCCTCACTTTCCTTCACTTCCAAAAATTCCATCTGTGCATCTTCCTTTCCAAAACACAATACAAACGACTCCTCTCGAATTTTTTCTTCTTCAAAGTTGACCAACCGTCGAATCAATTCGATAAACGTCCACGGAGGAGGCCAGGGTTCTCGGATTTCTCGCGTTGTATATACGAGCCCCCTCTACTTTCCCACCGAATCGGCCTTCGTTCGTTCGCGAGAAAACGGTTCGGAGGAGAAACAAGGAGAAAGAATGCCGCGACGAGAGGCAGGTCAGTGCGTTGCTGGCAGAGAGATTGCAAGCTGCCACGCTATGCTTCCAAAAAATAACGATATCCTTTCGCACAAGAAGCAACAGCAACCACACACGATCCGTCGAATGAAAAAAAAAACAAGACCGAAACTAAAGACCCAAGATATATTATTGGTTCACTCTCTGAACACGATGAATGACGAGGGCACCGACGAGGAGAGGAGAGCGAAACGGCCGACGAACGACCGTACGAACGAGGCGGCTGAAAGCACCGGAGAAAGAGTAGGAGTAGTGCGAAGAAGCAACGTCGAGGAGGGGTGTACCAAGCGGTGGATCCAAGGTGGGGGGAGCGATTTGGGTGGCGGGCAGGCGACTAGGGGTGGCTCTGAAGCCCGGTAGTTGTGCTCTCGCTCTTGCCTGCCTGCTTGCCTACCTGTCTGCCAGTCTGGTTTGCCCGCTTGAAGATTTGCTCGACTGTCTAGATGCTTGCTCGCCAAACTAGCTCGCTTTTACTCGCCTCGCCTTCGCCGTTCTGCTTTCCACGCTCTTTTTCTGTCACGCTTGCTCTCTCTCTCTCTCTCTCTCTCTCTCTCTCTCTCTGTGCTTTTCTCTCTTTGTCCGAGTGTGTCTCTTTGGTTGCGCAGGACCCGCCGCGCGACCCGGCCAAACCCAGAACCCGGCGTGTAGGTACCGCGGGCTCGCATTCGAGCTCCAGCCACCCCAGCTGCTCTATCCCCACCAGACTAGTCAACCCCCTCGGTCAGTGATGTGTCGAGCAAGCACAGGGCCATGTCGGAATATAAATTGGAGAATTTCTGTGTTGTCGCTGCTGAACCGAAGAAATTATCTCGTTCGGTTATATTTATAAATTACACGTATTCTTTCTTTCTTCTTCTTCTCTGTTTGTCTTCGGTATAAATGTTTGGATCACTAGAAAATTGTAAAAATTTGTTATTATTCATAAATGAATTGATTGATTGATTGATTTGATTTAGATTTGATCAAAGAAAGGATAAAAGAGCAATTGAAAGAGAAATATTTCTAAAGGATTTTTAGAAGTACGTTTTATAAATAAATGTTACGTCGAAGTTGAGATTATAAATATAGGGATGTAAAAAAGATAAAAAGAGCAATCGAGCGATGAATCTATAGGACCTTTAAAAACGGTGGAGGTGATGAGGGGCGGAGGTGAATGGACGATTAACGACGAGCTGGCAGCGATAGGCTCGGTATCGGAGAAGAGAATATTAGTAAAATTTTATTTCGTGCATTCGAAAACCGGCAATTACGCTCTTGGAAAGAAAAAGAATAGTCGAGGCTACTCGAGGAGAAGACGTTGCTCGTCCTACTTTCCCTCCTCGCCACTTCTATGCTCCCCGTTACTTCTTGTTTCTCGCCGGCTGAACGCTTCCCCTCTCGAATAGCCTGCAATCAAATACGTGCGCGTAAATGGACCGTTTCCAGCCAAGCCGAGAATTTTAGGCCATTCGAGGCGAACGTTGGTAGAGATAATTAAAAGAAAACTAACAACACCATCGATATTTAAACGAGTTTGGCGAGCATCACCGACACGTATATCGAGTTGACAAAGATGCTTTTCTTTTAACTTAATTAATTAAACAGAATAATCGTGTCGGAGAGATAACAATTAACGATATCAAAACGACAAATGATAAAGCGTGATTAAACGATTCAAGCGAGAATTATCGATTGCGACCTGAGGCAGTTCGTTTCCCTTGAATTAGTTAGACAACAAACCACAAAGCTGAGCCTCTCTCCGTCTTTCACTCTTTCCTCGCTGTTCTCCTCCTCTTCTATCTGTGATGCTAAGTAATCGTCGTGTCGCAAACGAAATGTTACTTGCATAAATATCTCTTTATCAAAAATTCATTGATCCGATGAAGAATTTAAATCTCAATAACAATCAGTGTTATAATGTTATACATCTGAAATATTACAATTAATTTTTTTCTTGGAACGATGATAGACAAATTTAATGATATTTTTAGAGGTTAACTTCAATACAATATGTAATTTACGATCACTTATTAAACCATTTTGAAACTGATACTGTAAAAAGAAAAAGTAATAATAATAATCAATGTCAAATTTCTAAAAGAACGACGATTTAAAAAAAAAATCAAAAATCGCATTTACATATATGCAATATAGTTAACAAGGAAAACAGTAAATTCTGTATTTACACGCAGGCGAAAGATATCCTGTTGCACCTGTTTCATAATTTATCGTGGAGAATTAACGCGACGTCGGATTGTCATTTCATTCGTGACAATTCCGTGAGATTGTTCCGCCTCGAAGAGACCACATAATGATACTAAATTTCAGACGACGAGGCTAGCACTCGGAGCATGCCAGTATTTTTAGAAACGTCCATTTAAAGTATTCGCCAAGCGTGAGGCCGTACGAAGTCTAGACTGTCTTCTTAATTGCACCTCGATGATTCAAAATGTAAATCTTTTCTCAAGCTGGGTAATCTTTTATACGAATATTATTTTTTTTTCTGCTCCGATGAACGTCCATAAACGAAAAAAAATTTAGCTATATTGTAGGTTAAAACATATAGTTAATAATAACAATAATTAAGAAATCGACAAGCGAATGTTTTATTTCTTTGTTTTTTTCATGTTATTAGATATATATATTAAATTAAAAAATATTTTTTCCTATAAATTGAAAATAAATAATAAAAATGTTAAACAAAATTCGATACTTTGGTTTGCTCGTCGATCTTTAGTCATTTGAAGTAGTCCTAGGTTCTTGAGTGCCGTCTTACGGCACTAACGACAACGCCAGTCCCCTCCAAATACTGATTCTACTCCCTTCTCGTGCTTCCCTCTCCAGGTCAAGCTCCGCGATCAGCATCGAGCCGCACCACCGTATACCTATTTCAGCGTACCGTGCTCACTCGACGAGTCTGGACGAAACGTCTACGTTTCCTAAGAAGAATATTTATTGTTTTTTTTTTTCTTCAATGAATTTTTGTTTAGAAAGAATTTTTCGAATAATTCCTAAGATCCTAAAATTTTTTTTAACCAAAAAAAGATCTTTTAAGATTGGTACACTCTACTTCTATTGAAACAAAATTGAATTTTTCTTCAAAAAAAATTAATCATTCTTTCTTTCACTTCTTCCCTCTACTTTCATTTCTTCTGATCCCTCGCTTTTTGTAAAGTATTCAGTATAAAAAATTCCGAAATCTCGAAGGAAAATCGAGTGGTTTGAAATTGGTAGAAATTTATGTTCAAATCCTTCCATCCTTCCTTTATCCCAATTTTTAAAAAGATTTTTAAAAAATTTCTAAAATTAATAATAAACCCAAAAAAAATTTTTTTTTTAAATATGTAACGAAACAAGTTAACGAAGATTAAAAATCTGATCGCTTGTTATGATTAAAATCTCAGTATCATGTTTCCTTTATAAAAGTTTGGTTAGCTTCAATCTTGTCAAGTCTCAAACTACCTTGATTTTCTTCCTTCAAAAGCTTTTCACTTTCTTCTTTTTCTCTACTTCCTCTCGAATTCGAGATTCTGGTGAAAGAAAAAGAAAAAGAAGAAGTTTAGAAATGAAGAAAAAGGTTTTCCAATCAATCGAACTCCACGAACGAAACATTTGTATACATAGTAGAAGATACGCGTGAAGATCCGTGATAATTAGTCAGGTATCGAAGTTTCTCTCGAGATTGCGTAGCTCGGAAACAACTTAACTTTAGATGCGTCAATTTCGAAGATAAACGAATAAGATCTCTTTCTTTTTAGGTTAAACGATCAATTGTGATAAATAAAATGATGTAAAGTGATAAATAAAAAAAAAAAAAACACAAATCCATCGAGAGAATATTTTGGCTATTAAATCATTCTTTTTTCTATTTTTTCTATTTTTTTTTCTATTAACTATTAAAATTTACGAAAAAGAAATATTTTTCAACGATTCGTCGCAGCTTTTTTTTTCTGTGCTTTAATTTTTAAGTATTACTAGATCGAGCTATTCCTAAAGCAGAAAACGAATCGATAAACCGGTGGAAATCGGGCAAGAAATATTCGCGTGAAACACGCCATTTTAAACGTCGACTAAATTACCGAAGCGCGTGAGAAAACGAGGTAGTGTTTCTTTTTATCCTTTTTCTTATTTTTTTCTTTTTCTTTTTTTTTTTTTTTTTTTTTTACTTTGAGTAGGATGTAGTTCGTTGCGAAACGAACTTAATGTTGACGTTGGAGAACTCCGTCCTTGCCACTACGAGCAATCTCAACGCTATTTTCAGCTCAACCCTGAATCTTAATGAGCATTACAATCATGCTACCAGAGTAGGCAGAGCTTTGAGAATTCTTGAAAGATTTTAAGAAATCCTTCCACGCATGAGACACTGAATTTCGATACCCTAATTTGATCTGTCCTGTAATAATTATCATTTGTCTGAATATATATGTCATATGGGATAAAATTTTTGAAGAATACAAAAGTGATACTATCAAGTTATATCGAGAGAAAAATTTTAATTAATTTCGAATGAAAATAAAAAATACTTGCATTTTTTTAATTCCATGTATTCAAGATCATGATCAATATCGTAGTTCATTTCTCTCGTTCTATATTTAAAATGCGGAAAAAAAAGATTTATTCTGCTCACTGCCAACGGATCGATGTTGTAAGCAAATAGTGAATACTTCGTCAAAATTGTGCAACGTTTGTATTCATCCGGTGCGAACATTTATTGCGCGTTATCGGGTCCAGAACGAAGAAAAATGTCATCGACTTTACATGGAATGAGATTTTTGAGTGACTCGCGCGGATTGTATCCGGCTTCGAAGACTATATATCATTTAACGAAGAGCGAGTAGAGGTCGTGAATGATGAAGACGCGTCGAAACTCTTAAATATCATGAAAGGAGAGATTCACTCGATTACCTCATATCTCAATAATTAGAGCTGATTAAAGATTGAAATATACTCGCAAAAAGAATCGTTTTGATTTATAGTCGATCGAAATAGTTCCGCTTTTTTTTTTTATTTCTTTCTCTCTTCTTTTTCTTTTTTTTCTTTCTTTCCTTTCTATTCTTCTATCGACATTGATACAATCCAACGTGAGAGTACACTTCTTTCTTCAAGTGTCTAGAACTTATGTTGAAAGTCCTTGAAAAGTTAAAATCTGTGAAGTTAACGAGAGACTTTAGCTATAATATTACATAGAGTTTAGAAATGGACCATAGGTTGTAACGTGGAACGAAATATTCACCGCTCTGAATCTCGTTAAAATCCCTGGGAGACCGAGAACAAGGCAGTTCCGTTGTTAGCTTTCCCCTTTCCATAGTTGAAAATATGTATTTCCATATAATATCGATCGAAATGAAAAATATTTAACTCATTTATATCCAATTTCAATTTTATTCTATTTCTCGAACCGAAAAATACCTGAGAAAAGAAAAGATTTATAAAATATAACGTAATTTTTTTCACTTAATTTAAAAACCTATATCATAACCTATAATAAAATTTTTGTTTAGATAATGTTAAATTTTCATTCGTATATCAAATATTTAAATAATTTCATTGGATATTTTAAATAATATTACAATTTTTTTATTAGTAAAGAATCAAAATGGTGAACAGTCGATTTCCCAACGAAGGTTTACCAGAAGATTAGCAATACGAGAGTTAGCGTTAGCACGAAGATTAGATACACCGTGCAAAGATGTAGTTAAACGTAGAAGAGAAGGATGTAGCAGCGCTGATATACTAATTGAATTAGTTATTTCGAAGCAGAAAGTTAAGGGCACGTCTGCGCCAAGTTTTCAAACTGAAATAACTCAGAGAATCGACGTGCTGGCAAGGGTGCTCGCGTACTCACCCTAAGAAGTTCTTATTAAGCTAAAAGTTTCGTTTGATACCGAGTATTATTATAATATTTCATTTGGATATGAGTATTATTTATCATAATTCGAGGATCTGCTGTCTAATGAATTTTATTCCTGTAAAAATAAATCGATTATATTAAAATAATTATAATGAATGTAAAATAATTAGCTGGCCAATTGTAAAAAAAAAAATACTACATATCATCATACTATTCGTTACTTTATAGAGTGCTTGTTTTTGATAAATCTAAGCTTCGGTATTTAATTCATTGAAATATCGGAATAGTTTATATGAGAAAAAAATGAAGAAATATAAATAACAGATAATCGAATTGTTTTTTAAATATAAGTAAAAAAGAAAAAAATACATTTTATGATTTAATTTGATAAAATGTCAATAGATATCAAACTAAATACGTTAATATATACTAATAATGTAAATTAAATGAAAAATCTTATTAGTTGTTCGATATATATTCGTTAATAATCGAATGATGAATATTTTTTCAATTATAAAATATGCATTGTTACTAATATCAATTATTAAACAAAAATCGTATTTATAAATAATGTGTTTTATTTGTTTGAGTGAAAATTTTTTTAAAGAACAGAAGCTGAAAAATATAACAACATGATGTGATAAAAAATAAGTTAAATATGGAATATTAATTCAGTAATATTTTGTTTTTTGCTCTTAGTGATATTAAAATCAAAATAATAATGGATTACTATTATATAGAAAAATCGAAATATTATAACATATAGATTATTTTTATAAAAAATACTGTCAAAAGATATTTTGATTATATATTTTGCAAAGCAACAAATCAATTATTGAAATTAAAATCTCAGTTACTATTAATAGAAAAAATAATGGTATTACACATTTATAGTATTTGTAGATGTTTTTGTGAATAATCACATGTTGATTAGGCAATATTTATTATATAAATAATATAATAATATTATATAAACAACGTTTCATTTGTACGATCAAGTGCAATTACATAATAATTCGAATATAGATACATCTATTGAATATTACCTATAAGAAATTTATTATCTTAACTTTTACCGCCATGCATCTAAATAGAACATTACATAAATGAGTCTCAATTTTTTATCGAGTTCTCAACAACTTATTTTCGGAGATTTATCACTTTGATTGTTATTCAAAAAAAAATATAATTTACTAGGAAATTAAGGAATAAAGTGAATAGTGGAACATGGAGAGATTATTTACTTGATATGGAGTTTTCATCTAAAAATATTGATTTTTTTTATTATATCAAAAAAAAAAATAATACATTTTTATTAAATAAAGTTTTATTTTAAACTTCTTTATAGAATTTGTGTGTTGTTACCTTAATTGTATCCTCAAATTTGATAAGCATTAAGTCTCGATATCACGAGCATTTTGAAACGCTGAAACAAGAGCATTTAATTGTACTGTTTCACTACAACCAATAGATACCCTTTTTTCTATTTCAGCTAGTTTTATTATTAAATCAATAAGTATCGAATCTGGAAATTCAACTAAAAAGAAATAATTAAAATTATGTGTAATATCTTTTTTTTTTTAAATTTAAAAGAAAGAAACATACTTTTATTTATAAACAAATGAAGTTCTGTTAATATATCTTGTAATGCCAGTCCTTTTTTTAACTTTATGTCTTGTATTTCTGAATATATATTAAGAAAAATTATAATTTGGAGAAACAATAATTCGAATTAATAAGAAAAAAAGGATACTACAATAACACAATTCATATGATTCATTGAATAGCCAATTGACAATGTTTTTTATATCAATTGGAAGAGGGTGTCCAACGCAAGAATAAACATTTTCTTCTGTAACTGCCCCAAAAGCAAGCCATGTACTTTGAAGGACATTCAAAACTTTTCTCATATCTCCTCCACTCAATGTTATTAATGCTTGTTTTCCATCTTCCGTAACATTTAAACTAAAATATATATAAAAAATCATTAATATATATAATATTTTAATATAATCGATACACTTACTTCTCTTCTTTAATAATAATGTCTAATCTTGGCAAAATTTGATCTATAGAAAGAGGGCCAAACCTAAATTTAGTGCACCGAGATTGAAGGGCAGGAATAATTTTACTGAGATAATTACATATAATACAAAATCTTACATTGTCTGTGTACTTCTCTATTACTGAAACAAGTTTTGAATAGAATATATTCTTCATAATTAAAGGAAACTATTAATGTTAGAACTTACTTCTCCTAAGAGCATTCTGTGCATCATTTGTCATAGCATCAGCTTCATCAAGAATGATTAATTTAAAACCAGATCTATACATTGTACCTGTACTTGCAAAACTAAGTATTTGTCCTCTAACTATGTTGATACCTCTGTCATCTGAAGCATTCATTTCTAAAACCTATATAAAAATAACATTCTGTAAAATATAATAAATGTCAAATATATGATAAATATAAATTTTTAACATGAAATATCAAATTGTATAAGATAAAAATAATATAAAATAAAACATCAAACCATTGAATTAAATTGAGCTGGTGTATATAATTTACGTGCACAAGCAAGTATTGTACTTGTTTTTCCTGTGCCAGGAGGTCCATAAAAAAGAAGATGTGGAAGTAAATTTTCATCAATGAATTTATTTACTATAATAAAATAATTTAAAAATTATATCTTTATAAAATCATAAAATTAATATAAATACTAACTAGTTTTAATAATTTCTTCGTGAGATATCAAATCATCCAATTTTTTTGGTCGATATTTTTCTACCCTGAAATAAGAGATTGAAATTTCAGTTTTATTTGATTACTTTTAAAATAAAATTTTAATTTAAATTTAATTTTGAAACAAATGTGCATTTACCATGGTAAATTAGTGCATTGAGTAGATTTTGAAGTCATTATATAATTCGAAATTACGTTATAAACTTCGTAAAAAGTATTCAAGGTTAGAATCTATTCTTTGGTGTCATACAATTAATATCGTTGCCAGGTATTCAAAAACGCGCCATTTTTGTTTTAAATAATACTTATTGATTGGTTCATGATTCATAAACCTATTACGAAAGATAATAATAATAATTCAAATTGTTTAAATATTAAAAAGTGGATATAAATTAAAACAAAAGACTTGCATTTCATATATACAAATCACATATGATATTCATTATTAAAAAATATCAGTCATGAATGATCCAGAATTGTGTCATAAGACTCCTAATTACATACTCCTTATCAAGATTCGATTTAAATTAACTCTACAGGAATACCAAAATGATGATAACTTAAAAACTGAATTTCTCAATACAATAAAACGTGGAAATATGATTCGTTACTATGAAGATGTTTGCAAAGAATTCAATTGGAAAATTGATGAAGATCTTATCAACGCGATGAAGCATAAAAACGAGGTTACATGGAATGAATTAGAGTCTTCTGATAATTCTACTCTTGAGGATACTGAAAAAAAAAATTGGAGAAAAAAATTCGAATTTTTTTGCGAGATTGGTGATCTCGATCGTGCTACAAATATCGCTATTTCAATTTTGAAGGATGAAAGTAATTCATCTAGCATTAGAATTGAAGCTGCTTTTGGCTTATTTAGAATAGCATACATAAGAAATAATATTCGTTCAATGGGAAAAATAATTGCCGAGATAACAGATCTGATGGAAGGATGTCATGCATCGGGTAGCAATTGGTGTTGTCGTAATAAATTGAAAGTATACGAAGCTGTTTATTATCTTGCAACACGAAGCTTTTCCCGTGCTGCAACACTTCTATTGGATTGTATACCTACTTTTGAATCTTATGAACTATTGCCATTCAAAGAAGTAGTAGAATATACATTATTATCTGGAATAATTTCTTTATCTCGATCAGAACTTGATACACAATTTAATGACAATGGACTTCTGCAACAAACATTACTTACAGAAGCACCTAAATATAGAGAATTTTTTTATTCCTTTTATGATTGTCATTACAAAGAGTTCTTCGAAAATCTCGCCTGGATAGAATATGAACTTAAGATAAATCCTTTGTTCCATTTCCATTATCGTTATTACGTAAGAGAGATGCGTTTGAAAGCCTACTCTCAGCTTTTACAAGCATATAGGACTATTAATTTAAATAGAATGGCAACAGAATTTGGTGTGACAGAAGAATTTATAGAACAGGAAATAGCACGTTTCATTGCGAATGGTAAATTGCATTGTAAAATCGATAAAGTGGCTAAAATGATCGTTACTGTTAGTGCCGCTAGTTGCAATAGAGGAAAAGCACCTGACGCTTCATGCGATCAAGAATTGGTTTATCAAAATATAATAAAAAGAGGTGATGCATTACTTAATCGATTAAAAAAACTTGGTCAAATTATTGATTATTAATATATTATATTATATTCTCGAATCATTATATTTGTTTAATATTATGTTAATAATAACATTATTTATATATATTAACACGCAGTTATAATTCTACGAAAGTTGAATTTGCCGCGATAACCGTGTGATCTCTCTTAATATTTAGTTTAAGGTGTTAATTTAAGAACATATTTAAACACGGTGTTTTTTTATTATAATTTAATTAATGTTGTAAATTAATTAATGTTTGTAAAGCAAAATAATATATTTCAAGAATTTTATTAAAGTTATAATTTAAGAAAATATTGAAAATTAATTATCATCTTTCAATTCAATAAGAATACATAGTTAACCTTATTCAAATATAATTTCAAAAATAATATATATTTTACATCAGTTTTCTGTGATCTTTTCCTTTTAATAATTATAGACATATTTAATAAAATTATGGCTTATCGAGTTCTTACAAAATATCCACGATCTATTTATAAAGGAACCAAAGAAGTTAAACAACATTTCAATTATCTGCTTGTATTAGATTTTGAATGCACTTGCAAAAAATATGAAAAAATCGAACCGCAAGAAATTATTGAACTTCCCTGCGCAGCAGTATGTACAAAAAGTTGGAAAATAGTGAATATGTTTCATGAATATATTAAACCAAAAGTTCATCCTCAACTTACTCCATTTTGCACACAACTTACTGGAATTATACAAGATATGGTGGACAAACAACCCCACTTTTCAGAAGTCTTTATGAAATTTTGTAATTGGTTAGAGGAACACAATTATTTCAAAAATGGAAACGATAGTGCATTTGTTACATGTGGTGATTGGGATTTAAAATATATGTTACCAGCTCAATGTAAATTAGAAAACATACAGTTTCCAATACAATTTATGAAATGGATAAACTTGAAAGGTACTTTTTGTGATGCAACAGACTATTATCCACGAAATTTGTTAGATATGCTCTCGTTTTTTAAACTTCCTTTAGAAGGAAAATTACATTCTGGCATAAATGATGTACAAAATATGGTTCAAATAATACAAAATCTTCATTCAAGATATAATGTACAATTTAAGATAAATAATGCAGATTTTGATATCATAAAGCAACATATAAATAAATAAAAAAATTGATTGAAAATTAATTTATTGATAATAAAAATATTGCTTGTATAAAAATTCAAAACTGAATAGCATATTTGTATAATAAATATTTCAATAAAAAATTAATTTTAAAACATCAATTTATAACTGTTTAACATTCACTCTTATTTGTACTTCAAATTTATTGTTTTCCGTATAAATTTCAAGAATCGCATTAAAATTTCGTTCAATTTTTCGTTTGCATTGAATTTTTAATTGAAAATCTCTTCTGGTGGGTATCATTCCTTCAGTAGGGACAATACTTAGATATTCTGTATTTGATAAATGAGTTTCAAATGGCTGTGCTATAGTACAAGAATTTTTTAATGTTACAATTGCTTCTGTTCTAGTTGGTGGAGTTAAAACTACAATAGATGGGCTGATCATAAAATTATTGATATTCATATCATTTTGAATTATAGTATTTTCTACGAGAGTCCTAAAAATTTTGTTTACTTAAATATAATTATTTATGAAAATTATTTGCATTAGAATTACACTGATAATTACACTTACTCTGAAGGTAAAAAACTTTCTGCATTTCCATCATATACATGACTATTTTCACTATAAAGAGAATAAAACATTTGTGATTCATCAGGATTATCATGAAGAACAGACAGAGTTTCGTCAGCACATACTTCCATTGTTAACATTATTTCGTGTTGCCGAATCTCACGACAAAGATCTCCAAAATTTTGCTAAACAACATTTATATTAATAGATTATTTAAAAAAAATTTAAATGAGTAAATTTATTATTATTTACCACTGAATCTCGAATAGGTATTACGTCTGACACTAATTGTTCTCCAGAGAAAACTTTACATATTGGATGAACTATATTTCTAAAAGTTTCATTTTCATTTCCATTCAACTCGCCTGTTTCTTTCATCTTTTTATATAATCTGAAAATGTAATTGGAATTCAAAATAGATTATAAATCAAAATAGATTATAAAGTTTATAAATTTAATATCTTACCTACGAATTCGCAAACGCGTAGGTTCATCTCCGTGAGTAATTAATAATGTTCCAACATGTGATACATCAGATTTTTGCAATAACGCTAAATCTTCTTTTCGTGGATGAAATTCCAGAGTTACCCATTGAACTTCTTTTGGATTTAACAATAATTCAGTTGGATTTACTTGCCAACTTGATATCATAGTAGGATACACAGCTAAAATCATCCAAGAATTATTTAAAAAAATGATAAATATATTTATATTTAACTATTTAAATATTTTTACCTTTTGGTGTTAACTTTATTTTAACATAAGAACATAAATCTCCAGTATTTTGTAATTTTATCTTTGCATTTAAAGAACTTTCTGAATTTAACATACCAAATGACAACCACATTTTTCCATTTGTGTCTTTGAATACTTCTGAAATTTCGACTTTGCTATAACCCCCATAACCATATAGAAATATCTATAAATAATATATTTTAATAATAAATTTATTATTTGATTTATAAGAGTAAAATTTATTTTAATAATAAATTTATTTACTTGTCTTGAAGGTAAAGATTCAGAATCTTCCTTTTTTGATTGATAATGCCTAAATATAATTTTTCCATTTGCTGCACCTATATGATGAGGACTAAATACAACAGACAATGTTCTACTTTCTGAACCTTGCAACGCTAATACAATAGTTGTACCAATGGCTTCTCGTTCTCGAAGAAACTAAAATATTATATTTATTATTGTATAAAAACATAAATGTAAAATATTAATTTATTATAATAAATTAAAAATATTACTCGAAAATTTTTTTCACTATCTGATATAGTAGCTTGTATCTTGATCTTGTTGTTGCTTGTATTGCGAATTGTAAATTCTTTAATTTCAGATTTTCCTATTTTTAAACTATTCCATGACAAAGCAGCATGGGTTGTTTTTATAGGAATTTTATCTCCAGCAACAGTTGAACCTGATACTGAACTAAGAGAAGAATTTCTACCAGATACGCTTGACCTATATTGTATGAAATATTAACAGAACTTCATAAAATTTTAATATAAAATATAATAATAAACTTACTTGCTTGAAACCATACTATGTGGAGAAGAAGGAGAACTTACAGATGATACATATTGAGGAGTTTCACAACGAGGAAAATTTTCATTTTCTCTCTCAGTACATACGCTCGATTCACCAATTATAACATAATGATAAACATTACCAGCAGCAGTTAATTTAATTTTTGTATATCTTTAAATATAAATAAAAATCAATAAAAATAAATTCATAATATTATAAATCTATATATAAAATATGTCTTCTTATATAAATAATATATATAAATAATATCTTCTTACATTTTAGGAATGTCTAAAATTTCTTGTTTATAAGTAATAAAAAAACGTCCAATTTCTTTAGGTTGCATATGTATATTTTCTGGTTCAATTGAAAAATATTTAGAATTTTTTTTTGAATCAATATCTTCGGAAAATGCGGCTAATACAACTATTGGTATCGTTCCAAGATTAATCACGGACAAAGATTTGCTTTGTTTATTAGGAATAATCAAAGGTAAATCTGTTTCAATCACTTCTATTTTAAAAGTTCCTACTTGTACAACAAGAGGAACTTCTTGGATCAATATATTTTCCTCTGAAGAATTGTTTTCAGCTTGAATTATTAAAGTACTATTGAAACGTTGTAAAGATTGTTGTTGTATTTCACTACTTTTCTGTAGAATACCCTTGCATTGAATATTTATAATATATGCATCTTGAGTTTTAAGAATTATGTGTTGTGGTTCTGCTGAATTTTCTAAGCTGAATATTGCTGGTTCATGCTGCATTCAATTAAGATAAAAAAAAATTAAAAAAAGAATAAAAAAATACATTTATTTGAAATTAGATAAAATCATTACCTGTGATATAAAAAATTTAATAAGAACATCAACATTGTTTTTATTTTTTATTGTAATAGGCAGAATTGTCACACTATTCTCAACAACATATTGAAAATCTAATTCCTTTTTTTGTAAAGGATTTGATACACTTATATTGATTTCTTCAGGTTTGAAACAAATAATATGTTTCATAGTCCATTCAAATTTTGCTACCACATCTAATACTGTTATGTTTACAACAGTTATAATTGGTTTACTCATTTTCACTACTGTTGCAATAATCTAAATATATAAATTAATATATATCATTTTTTTTTAAATTTTTATATTAAAATATATATTTTTTTTTTACCTTAAAAAATTTTTCTGAATTTGGTTTAACAAGAACAACATTGTTTGGTGATGTAAGTTGAATAATTTCTTTATCTCCTTGAATTTGATTTATATTTAATGAACAAAGCATCCATTTATCACTTTTATTTAAAAGTTCAATGTCAGTCTCTCTAGATAGACCAACAATACAATTACA